AAACTAACCATTCTTGTTTACTATTGTTCTCAATACTATCTAATTACTTCTGTTTATGAAAAAGGATCAAATTGTACATTTTATTTTCCAGTGTATATACAAGCTGTGATGTCTTCCAATTACCTAGATTTTAGTTTATTACCCTAATTTAATATCTTGTACACATGATCATATGTTAAGGTGTGAACAAAACTTTTAATGAATAATTAAGATTATTCTGTCTTATATTAAGGTTATTATGAAATCCACACTAACGAAAAACAAATGGATAAAGCTCATAAAAGTTGCTTGAATTGAAAGTGTAATTCTTAATTTCAGTCAACTTATAACATTGTGGGACCATTTTTCATTTCCTTCGGTAGGTAATTGCCTTACAGGCGAAACGGTTTTGCTTTACTGGTCATGGATTCTCACTAGAACCCATAGAACTTCCTCTCGATGTTATTCACTTGTGAGCCAATAATAATTTTCGGAATGGAGTTGTGAAGATTTCTTTTGTTTCATTGAACTCATGAATCAATCAATGTCAGACCAGCATTGGAAACCAGGAAGCTTCTCATTTCTGAAAATTGCTTTAATGTTCTATACTACTCATAAGTAGTCGCTGTTTATTGCATATTTTCTTCATACTCTTGTTTTATGGTGTAATCTTAAGCCTTTTCCCTTCGAATTGGTTTGTTTGTCTATTTCACATTTGATCGAATCAAACTGGTTATATTCCTTGGGTGTCTGTGCTTTATATTAAGTGTTTTCTATTGGTTTCTTTGTCTTGGATGTCAGTTTACAATTTATTCTCATGTTTGTTAAATATGAAACGGCATATACAATTTAGTAAATAACAATGAGTTTAAATTTATTCAAACTTCAGTGCATATAATTGTGTGGCAAAAATACAAAATTATTATCTACATAATCAGTTAAAGTTGATGGATAAATACATTTTAACCGAAGTTTCTACCTTAGAAACACAAGTGAACTGCTTAAGTTTCATTTATCTTCAGACTGAATCAGAACTGAAAACGATCAACCTATACCACGCAAGTATCAATTAAATCTCAGTTACATAACAGTTAAAATCCAAACCTTTGTCTATTTTTTGTTTATATTTAATGAGAATAAGGCGAATCTAATACATTTATGAATATTATTAAATTAAAATAATAATACAGACAACGTGCATTTATGTTTAATGATACAAAGTTAGGTCATTTTACAAACAATATTGTATTATCAGTATAGAGTTGTGGAGTTTGTTGAGTTTAGATTGATATCGTGAATGGATCAATGTGAGACCAGCACTGAAAACCTAGAAGCACTGGAAGGCCGTATCGTCCTAATATTGGTGCTTCTCAGCAGTATGCATCCACAACCCCTCACATGAGACGCGGACTCAGGACCTACGATCTCGAGCGCGAACGGCTAACCTCTAGACCGCTGAGCCGGCATCCAACAATGTTAATATCTAACTTCAACCAATCCACGATATTGCACGAACGTCCACCATTGTCTCCAGTGAGTAACTGCCTCACAGCAGACACAGTTGTGCTGTATTAGATGCTCAATCTATTTTAGTTGAATTCATTCAGAGGTAGTTATTTCAAACATGAAGTGAAGATTTATAGACTGCTTAATTTTATTATTATAAATAAGCGAAAACTACGACTTCATTTCGGTCTAGGACATTCAATGTCTTGGTCCTGTTTATACTGAGAACAAACAGATGACACAGAGTAGGTGTTATGTCCTAGTGCCCGTCAAATATCACGTGACAAAAGCCGCCTATCAGAATACCGACTTTTATGACCTTGCCCCTGTGTTAAACTAATGATTATATATATATATATATATATATATATATATATATATATATATATATATATATATATATATATTCATTAATGCATTACTGTATTTAATCCCTTTTAATTATCTATTTTTCATCGTTTCATCAGGCTTCAATAACTGTATGGTAGACTAAGTAATTTGTTGTATAACATTGATATGACGGGATGATAAGGTAAATTACATCTTTAACCCCTTGTGACGCTTAGTTCAACGCCACTTCTGTGTTTTATTAAACATGATGATTTCTTAGCGTAATATTTGTTTTATTTTCGAAGTGATATTTATTGGCGATAAGATATTCTTCTTATTAACTTACGTGAATTATATTCAACATAATATGAAGCGGAGGAATTTGTTGTAATTCCATGTATGTGACTTTTGCTTAATTTATAATCAAATGGGTGTAGAAATCGATATATAAACGAGTATATTTTCGACTAATGTTAGAGTCGAGTTTTCTTGATGAATAAGACTCCAATTGTATCCAGTCTTTTGTGTTCTTACATACCGCCGTGGGGACTGTTGGGGTTCCTCGTTTTCGATTATAAGTAATAAGCGACAAGGATATGACAAACATTTAACCATTTTAAGTGCAACTTAAATAAATATGTGATGGTAAATTATCTTATTCAATGAACAAGTTTATTATTTTGTAAATAATAATTTTTCGGCTAGCAAATTCTCAAACTAAGTCTGATGTACACATTAACAAGTCATATTCATAATCATTAAAGAAATCGATGCGTTCCTATATTCTTAGTATCACATTGAAATATACTGCTGCTACCACCAATGCTACTAACTTATTTGAGTAGCAGCTGATCTGTGATGAAAATTCAGATGTTAACCAAACTACATAGAAGTACTAACTAATCTCACATAGGTTTATCATTGGTAGTAATCTGATTCTATCATTCAATTTGATTTGTAATAATACAAAGTAAACATCATTTATTCAGCTAATAGATATTACATCAACTCCACCTGTAGCTCTTCTAAGGTTACTGCCGGTCCCAAGCCAACACAAAGGAGGTGGGTTGGGCATGAGGACGGCAACCCCACCCAGTTGAAAAATTCTTGCTAGAAAAGTGTCAACCAGGTTAAACAATATGAGCCATTTAAACTCTGCCGTCCGAGTTGAAAAATCTTCATTCAAAAGAATTATGACGCTTTATGCTGAAAACCGAGATTATTTGGAAGTCACGAGGGCAATGCTCCTTCTAACAACCATAGTAACAGTTTTTATAGGTACATGGAACGTTCAGACAATGTGAGAGACCGAGAGGACCAGTCAAATAGCAACGGAAATGAGGAGATACAACTTGGTAGTACTCGGAATCAGCGAAACCCATTGAACCCAAGCTGGACAGCAAACGCTAGATACTGCTGTACTTCGGTTACGAAGAGGAAAACGCTACACATACTCACGGAATTGCTCTGATGCTGTCCAAAGAAGCACGAAATGCACTTATAGGATGGAAATCTCACGGATCCAGGATCATCAAAGCATCATTCAAAACAAAGAAGGAGGAAATCACGATGAATGTTATACACCCCAAAAAGATAGCAACGGCAGCGATAAAGATCAGTTCTACTAGAGGCTGCAAGCAATCACAGCGAAGTGCTCAAGAAAGGACCTCGCTATCCTGATCGGAGATCTAAACGCCAAGGTCGGAATGAACAATACCGGATATGGGGATATCATGGGACGAAATGGACTGGGAGAGAGAAAAAAGATGAGGAAAGATTCGCAAATCTATGTTCATTCAACAAGTTGGTTATAGGCTGTACCGTATTCCCACGCGAACACACACACAAAGCTACATGGGCCACTCCGGATCACACGACAAAGAACCAGATAAATCATATTTTCATCGGTAAAAAATCCAGCACAATAGAAGATGTGTGAACTAGGAGAGGAGCTGACATAGATTCAGATCACCACATGGTTGTGGCCGAGATGAAACTGAAGCTAAAGAAACACTGGACAACTAGGGGAACGGCATTACAAAGGTTCTATACACCCCTCCTTCAACATACTGGCAAATCCAACAAATTCAAGATAACTTTAAACAACAGGTTCCAAGCTTTACAGGATCTACTGGAAAGAGAAACTACGATGGAGGACAGCTGTAAAGAGAAACGAAAAGCACTAACTTCAATGTGTCAGGAGATTCTGGGCCTCAAGAAGCGTCATCGTAAGGAATAGATCTCTGTAGAAACACTGGGCAGAAACTAAGAAAGGAAGAAGGAAAAGACAGCATCCCGTACCAGGACTAAACACCTGTCCAATACTTCCTGGTTTTCAATAGTGCTTTAACTAAAGGTCAGTTCGTGGTTCAATTCATGAAAATTGAACAATATCCATTTATTTTACAAAATATTTTGATTTTTATTCAGATCTAACCTTCACCTCAACACTCTGATACAAGATATACGATAAGTATTCACTTTTAGTTCTATTATAATCAATAATACAACACAGACAACACTAACCCAATCACACTTGCTGAAACCCTGGAAGAGGTGGAAACTTTCAAGTACTTCGGCAGCATCATCGATGAACAAAGATGTGATGCAGATGTAAGGAAAAGGACTGGCAAAACAAGGACAGCATTCTTACAGTTGAAGAACATATGGAACTAAAAAACTGTCATCCAACATTAAAGTCGGTATCTTCAATCTGAACGTCAAGATAGTTCTACTGAACAGAGCTGAAACTTCGAGAAGTACTACAAACATCATCAAAGGGGTACAGGTATTTCTAAACAAACTTAAACTCAAGGTACTTCAGATCCGCTGGCCGGGTACCACCAGCAACAACCTACTATGGCAGAGAACAAACCAGATTCCAGCTCGAAAGGAAGTTATGAAAACACGCTAGAGTTGGACAGAGTATACATTGTGGAAATCATCACCAGACATGTGCTAACGTAAAATACTGAAGGGGAACTGAAAAGAGCAAGACAAGAGAGCACAATGCGTCGAGAATTTAAAGCAAACATGAAAAGGATGAATAGCAACTGGAAAGGATTGCCCAGGACAGAGTTCGATGGAAAGTGCTGGTGGACGACCTATGCTTCTCCACGAGGTGTAACAGGAGTAAGTAAGATATTACAGCAAATTGAATGATTAAAAAAAGCGCATACAAAATCAATAGAAAAATATCTTCATTTAATTATTTTTGAAAATAATTCGAAGTTTTTCAGAAGCGTACATTCATAAAAACAATAATAATAATAATAATAATAATAATAATAACAGCCTGTATACGCTCTATTTTCAAGGGGAAAATTAGGAAAACTCTAAAGAACATAGAAACGGACAGAAAAGAAAAAAGCAGATGAAAATCTTTGCTTCATAGTCATTTTGGTTTCTTTTTATACAACATACAGAACACATACGGAATAAAAAAAAGAGCAAGGGGAGGCAGTGGTGGAGGCAACCAAATAAACACAGAAATAATAATCTTGATTACATTTATATGTCATATCATCTTGAGTGTATCATTAAAAAAATAGTAAATTGAATAGCCAACTAACTAGGTAACTATCCAAGCTTACATCATATATCTGTATTACAATGGATTGTCCAAAAAAATCACATTCTATAAAATAATAAAAATTACTAACTACTATTCGCTAGTTTTATTCAGTAGTATATAATTTACAAATAAATATTGTAATGTTTTGTTTCTTTTTCTGGATTGTTTAGTTAAAGATATAACCAAAAGTAGAAATCTGATATTATAAATAAGCACATCTATCATATAAATACCAGAAAGGGTAAATATTAACGTTGAGAAACGTTGATACATATATGAAAACAACAAAGATTGATTATCCTATCGATCAATGATGATGAGATGTTCGGAGAGTAGAAGCAGCAGTAACGGTAATCAGAATAATCGATTATTACTATTTATGCGGGAACTGAACAGGATTTTAATTTGATGAATATATATATAGGGAGTAAATAAGTAGCATATATGTATATTGTAATGCACATCTTGTAAAGTTGGATTCATCTCTAAATATCGGATGACTAGAACAAAAAAGTCATTATACAATGATATTACATTTAAAATAAGATAATTATTTACGAAAACTTGCTCATAATGATATGTGAAATATTATTATATAGGGAAAATTCAAATCGGTTAGGGATTATCAAACTAAGCAAATCAAATGTGGTTGATTTTAATTTCAATGATTCTCATTATGAATAGACATCAGACGTGATATCATAGGAAGCTGGACAAAAAAATAACTGAGTAGCTCTAATTCATCCCAGTTTTTAGATTCAAAATAAGGTGAACTAACAATCTTTTCGGATTCGAACTGAGGCTTATGACTGAGCATTCAGTTAAACCATAAATTGATTGAATTCAGAAGTATACGTCATTTGAATTTTAAGTAGATAGTCTCAAGGGTTTACAGAAAAGTTTAGAAGTCTTTTATGCCCACTGGTTAAAAATCCTATTCAAGGACAAAACAGTAGTCAAATCCTTCACGGTTTTGAATAGTATCTCGACTGAGGTCACTACTGCGTTATGAATGTCATTTTTAAATGAAACTAAAGTAGGTCATTTTATTGATAATTTATAGTTGATACACTGCTGTTGAATACATGTTGTTGCATTGCCTTGTGGATTAGATAAAATACACAAATTATGATTTTTAGAAGTCAAACAATTTAAACATTTGTTTTAATAATATATGCAGCAGATATCTAAACAGAATAACACAAACTGGATTTAATTAACAAATGTCGTTTCATACTAGTAACATTAAGATTTAAGTAGTATAAGCGATATCAACGTTCATGTTTGGCGTAAAATAATACGTAAATGTAACACATAAGTTATTAGAGTGATTGATATTTATCCGTTTAGATGATTATATTATGTATTTCAAATCTTAGGTTATTATTTTCTTTGACACGATTATCTGGCTAGTATAATACTGAATTGCGAAAATTTGGGAGTGTCCAGTTCATGAAATCACTGAATTTTTGTGTGAGCTGTATCGGAAAATGGAGATTTATGGGTATAAGGATTCATGAGTAGTGACCAATGTCATGTTCGTATAATCCTCAGTACTGATGAAAGTCTAACAGTCAAACTGCAATATGGCCACTAATTCGTGTGACGTAACATTGTGTGCACTATTTTTGCTGCTAGGTTGTTAGAGTTAGTCAATGGAAGACCCTGCTCGACAAATGTTTTATGGCGATTGGCTCTCGTCAAGTATCCATACCTATAAACGTGAGGGAACAGATGCTCCTTTGGGGATTCAAGTATACATCATCCAGCAGCATAGTTTGAGATATTAACAATGAGCTATTCGGTTTGTAACTATCCTCCACGACTGAGCTTTTTTACATCGCTCATCACTATTCAGTGTAATTTAAAATTATTTTTACAAAATGATAATAGATTTGAAGAAATTTTATAACAATGATCTGATGAAACTGACATTTATTGAATACCAAGAGGCATTGGACAACTTGTTTTATCCCAGTATAACACTCTTCAGCGATGTGCACACATGCCCCGCCCCCACTCACGAAGTATCGGACTAACGATCAATAAGTATACTACTTCCAAATTAAATTTCGGTAGTTATTTTATTTCAGAGTTCAATAAATTCTATTTTCTATTAATGAGAGATTCGTACAGATTTTAATCCAGAAGAATTACCGGAAGTGTTTGAATAGGATTATTATTATTACTAGAAATTCATATGACTATTAATTTTAATACATTGATTTATTTTATGATCTAAAGTTTATCTAATTTACATAGCGAACTGAAAGTAATTATTTGTTTATATATATATATATATAATAGTAGTATGTACTACAATTACAGTAATTCTCTTGAACATACACGCAAAAATACATACGAAGCAATAATTTATTTAGTTCTTTTTTTGAATAGATATGGAAGAGAAAGAAGATGAGTCAAGAGAAATTTAGTAACACGAATATATTAATCGTGCACAGGTTAATTAAACCAGTACACTGATAAAGAATAAAACAAAGTACGTTTTATTTTCAATGCAACATTAAGTCTTTTTTCTTAATAGTGTCACATGTTGTTAGGTCGAGTGTTTTTTTTCTCTTAGATATTGAGAAAATGAAATACATAACCATCACTGTAGAACGTATTATTTTCTTTATATAAAATAATGCTGAACACATAAACCATTGTATGCTGTTACAGTAGTCTAAAGAAGCTTTCTCCTCGAGACTCGAAAGCTCTGAGTTCGTTCTCTGGTGTGATCATAGACGTGGATTATTGATGAGTCCAACATAAGAAAGAAACAGATATCCATTACCTTCTAGCTTTCAACAGAGTCTTAACTAAAATTAGCTAGTAATGATAACTGTAAAATTCAACAATCTTTACAAATTCCTATACTGCAAAATAACGACAAGAAATTGGCGTTTCGTTTCCACTAAAAATAAACTCATTCTCAGTTCTGAAGATAGTAATAATAATGTCGAGGAGCAAAGTTAACGAATGAATAGTTGTCTAGCAATAATATATTTCGAATTATGAGATTAAATGATCCGAGTTCAAATATTACGTGTATCAGTGATATGATAAGCAAGTATTAAGCCTAACAGTCAGATATCTTAATCAATTGACGAATGAATGACCGATATCCGTCTAAAAGGTCGATTATCAAAAAGATGATCACCAAAAAGTTGTATATTAGTGAAGGTGAACTTCGAAAGGGGGAATAATACTTTTAAAACAATATACCTAATTTTTTATGAGACTAACTAGCCATAATCCGAATAGCCCAGTGGTAATGGCAATAACTATGAAGTTAGATTACCTAGGTTCGAATCCCGTGAAAAGCATCAACTCCCTCAATATTACAGGTACACCGTACTGACAAGAGTGAACTGGCACAGGAATATGGTTAAATAGGATTCCGTGTCGATTACCTCCAAGAATAGTTAACATCTTAACACACTGTACGCGATGTCAGCACATTCAGGCTAGTGGTCACAATGAAACTAAATTGACTGAAGTTTATCAATACTAGAAGATTAGACACACATGGTCATTGGTCTGTTCTCAGTAATAAAATCAATCGTAGAAAATATTTTATTTATGAGACTAACGAAAAGAGAGGTGTTTTAAGACAGTTCGAAAAAAAAAGAAAACATAAAACTATTACTTCTACTTACTGTAATATGTTTTATCTGACTATATCTGGTCTTGATACCTGAAAGAAAGCATCAATATTCGAGTGATTCGAAGACAGATATTAGGTTTATTGATATGGCGAGTAATAACTTAATCAATTGGAATGCTAATGATATATGGAATTGACTTTTTCTCTAATTGTATGTGACATTTATTAATCACATCTTAAGAAGGATTATAGATGCTTAATTGTATAGCATGATAAATGTGTTCACATAGTAAGTGATTGAGTTATTACTGTTAGACACAACTCAGTTCAAATTATACAAATCCGACTGTTAACCTAACTATAAGTAAAACATATGAAATGTAATATATTCATAAATTATTTTGATTGATTCTAAGAGTCAAATAAATCCTCAACACTTGTTTTCGCGTCTTTTCTCCTGTGTTCAAGTTTCCGTGTAGATTCAGTCTGAAGTCAATAAAAGCGGCTAAGAATTCGGACCGAGAGTTTATTTAGCAGGGTAAAATTCTAATAAATAAACATTGAGATTACACAATGACTACACGAAGTCTAAATATTATGAGTTGTGAGTAGATGGCAATTTTTGAGTGATCATGTGGTAAATCTAATGAGTTTCTCGATTAAATTCATCATCATTTCATATTTAATACAGTTAAGAACGACGTAATGCCTGCCACACATCGAATATCAAATGACTCTAGTATATAAATAATTAGGAATTTTCTGAGATGCAAAATCAATAAATGATGATCAAATCCTTCTTGCAAGGTATTTAACTTTCATCCACGAAGTCCAAAGTTCAATCCCGATCGATTTAATTCAGTTTGATCAATGGGGTAGTATCATTAGAATGTGCCTAATAACCAAATACCTATTGAATGAAGTACTTAAAATGAAATCGATAGTTAAGGCATAACTCATAATGACCAACATTATAGATACAGAACGTTTATATTGATTATTACAACTTACTTCATCATGACGAATAATTGGAATTTGTGGTGATTCTGAGAGATAAGGTGACCGATCATATGAAGAATTGTGATGAAAAGCATTTCTATTCTGAAATTAAAATTATTTTTAGTTAAAAAAAAGCATAAATTAAGGAAAATATGATCAAGTATAAGTAGTATTGAAGGTTGGAGAAAAAACTGGCAACTATTTGTTACACTCTTATCAAATACAAATAATTGGAAATATCGAAGTTAATTATTTAGCCAAATGAACGCATTAACATGTCTTCCTCATATGATATTTTTAATTAGATCAAACTGTTTAATTTGTACAAATTTGTGCAGTGTAATTAACTTGAAAGTACTATTGTGAATTGAGATGATGGTAACAAATTCTACTTTCAATCTCATCAATTTTATCATAGAGTTCTGAAAAATAATCAATAGATTTCCAGCTAGTTAAACGTAACGTAGAACCTGGTACGTGTATAGATCAGTTCAAGTTTCCATACCCCCTCCGATTAGCATAGTGAGATGACATTGTCAGGGAAAATTGGGAGGAATTTAGTAATTTCGGATAAACAAAAATAACAAAGAGTGAATGCACCTGGTGCTAAGGTAAACACAATTTTGAGCCATATCATTCAAATTCTTTAAACATTGGTTACGATAATTATGTAAACTCCCAAGAAAACTATTATGTAACAACGTGTAAAACTGAGATTAAAAGGTTTCGCATAAACAGACTTCGAATTTCGGCTATAAATGATTTAAATAAAATAATACTTTGAAAGTCTATATTATGTCAAGAAATTAACATCAGAATGTTACATTGAGCTTTTCATGAACACACAAAATGTATTCATGATAATGTGTATGCAATCTATGTGATTAATGTTTCATAGAAGTTAAATACACATTAACTCTCCTTGACAAAAAAAAGAATAATAAACATACAGTGTATTGTATTACATAATTCAACAGTTAAAAAACGTCGAGAGGACTAATTATTATAAAAAATAATGTCCTTTGCAATCGGATCCCTTTAAATTTAAAAGTGTCAATTGATTCTTAAGATTACTTACATTTATTAACTTACGTAGTAAACAAACATTCTACTGGTAAGATTTTATTAATACGCTTACGATTCCTAAAATGAAGTAACGTACAAGTGTTAGAGTCTTATTACATTACTTTGTAAATAACGTTTACAATTCTTGATCTATAGAGAAGATAAACAATGATATCAACACGAAGATATAGAAATAATGACATATGAATGAGAATAACTTTTGAAAATACAAAGAGAAATTTTGTATAGAATAGATGGAATGTGGCTAGCACTGGAATCCAGGGTGCGCATTACGTCTTATTTAACACTAATCAGCTGAATGCAGTTGGATCCCCGACTTGATTTTCAATCCGGGATTAGAACCTAATGTCATCCTCTCCAAACGATATCGCATTATCTACATAGCTACTCGGTTCAGTAGGTTACTCACTTATGTAACGGGTATGAGTTCCAGTTAAATTAAAATGTCTTGGATTATCCCATTGATATTTTAACTGGAATCTGACACGAACGGTACTGGGTTCGAGTAGTAGAAAGAACATTGGATTTCCGATGAAGTGCCATTCAGTTGAAAGGTCCCACAGATGACGAAACACGAGTCCTGGATTCCGCTAATAGCCACAGTCCATCTATTCTATATTCACTTGTGTCATATAGACTACATCGAAGTAGTCCGAATATGATATATATATATATATATATATATATATATATATACCAAACAAGACTGATCGAATTTCAGTCAAAATATCAACAACAGGATAATCCAAACAACATCAAATTGATACAAAGAGGAATGTTGTATGCACAATATTCATATTATGTCACCCAATAAAATCCAGATAACTATTGATACTCGTAATAACTGCAATAACTATTGATTTATTGGGTCTGATGTTGATCAAAATGAAAGAAACTGTTGGATATAATTCTTTTGAATATGAAGTTTCGGATTTTTAGATCTGAATACCTGTTATTTGTGTATTTGAAAAGATTTGAATCTGGCAAACTTCAGTACTTACAGTACTCACAAGATAAATCACTAAAAGCGATTGATTTATGCTGGGAGTATGGGCTGTTTGAACTGAATGAAAAAGTACCGAGCTCTTTACAGCCTTGATCACACCTTTGCTACGATGATCCCTCAATGTTGTGGATTGATTGAAGCTAAGTATTACACTGTTGAGCGCTGATTCAGTGGTCTAGAAAATAAGAGTTCATACATGAGACCCAATGTTTTGGGCTCAATTCTCGCTTGTGCGGAGTCGTGACTGCGTACAGCTAAGGGGTCTCGTGCTACGATGAAATGGACGTCCAGTGCTTCCAGGTTTTCAATGGTGGTCTAATTTACATCAGTTCATGATTTCAATGAAATCCAACAATTTCCACAAACCTACACTGAAAATTTCAAGAGTTTTGGACATGGATGAAAATCTGGACTTTTATGACAAAACTAATTTGACTATTACTAATCAGTCAGTGACAATATTCTGTCCAATGATTTATAGTTAATTGGGCAAATATAAAATACAATAATAGATATGAGGTAGTTAGTAAGCAGGTTCTATAATTTATTTCGAAAAAGTATTCCCAAGGCTGTTGTTTGAATCTATCTTCGATTCAAGGATTCTATTACCTTTGTCTTCAATCAACAATGTGAGTAAAAATACAAATGTTTTAGTGATATAGAGTGATCGGGTGAATAAATTTAAATAGTTTCACCATTCATTAGTTAAAGCATTATTTCATACTTTGAGTTTCGGATTCGAACCCTGTGCACAAATATACTCTAGCTTGCCCAGACTAATAGCCACACTCGAGGAATGGAGTTGAATTATATAAAAATTTGTATTTAGCTTTTAAGAAACAGTTGACAACTGACTAACTTTTAATGCTGTCAGCCGAAAAGTTAGAATATATATAATTTAGAGTGTTATAAACGAACAAAAGAGAAAGAAGTCATAACATATATGGATAAATGTTAGGAAATATAAATGATTTTATAAAGATTGGTAGAGCTTCCAATGTTTGTATGATATAATTTAGAAAAAATATTATCGAGAAGAAGAACAAATGACAAAGGAAGAACATTATATATTTACCCTGGATACATTTCATAGGACAATTAACAGCTGTTATTATAGATTCAACCCTATGAAAATCAAAGATATAAGCCATTAACAACCCTCCAACATTGATTGTATAATAAACATAGTATTTTCAAATCGCTAATGAGGTATAGTGATAGTAGTAAATAATTCTTCTAACTACAAAGTGATTTAGTCAGTTGTCAGCAACATAGAACCTGAAAGATATGTGCATCAGTTCAAGTCACCATATTACACCGGAAAAGTGAGATGAAATTATCACGACGAGTACCAGAATAGTAAAAGTAGTAACTCTATCAGTGAAAGTAGGAAACACTAGGTATAGATAATATGATGTCACACAAGGTTCCCAATAATTGGTCCTAGTAATCTGGGGGATTTTAATTAGGTAGCTTGAACATACCAACAAAGCTCAGTTCAGTAGCGGATGACTTTATGGACTGATGTAACGTCATCGTTTGATTACTCACCGACCATATTAGCCAATATAAATCATCAAGGTTGGCTGGATTTATATTTAAAATATTTCCCAGTTACTCCAGTCGATGGAGATTCAAAACCTTATCAAATGATTTTTCATCGCTATCTAGTACTTTGCTCCTAAGATTAACATTGATCACTCAGTGATCCAAATATATTCAAACAATGCTTCGAAGACATTTAGTATTTCTGAAAGGTCATATTTACCCTATGAAGCACATTTTAATTAAGCAACGTTCACTAGAAAAAATGCATTATTCAAATACACTAAGTAAATACGATTTTGTAATAAATATATACTCACATATCTCATATTATAATTAAGTCAACAAAATAAAGTTTACATTGATTTGTAGAACAATTAAAAGCACGTGAACTTCTTATCTTTTTCGGTCAATTCCACGTGATTCAGCATAGTCAGTGTACACATACACGATGTGATTACCTCATATGCAAAGTATAAGTTAAATTAATTAAAAATCAATGCGAATAATACTTTTAAAAGACTGTATTACATATCCATAGAATGTAGATTGTGTGAGACCAATCAGAGTGTTGAAAAGGTTGTGACTTTAACGATCTGATCATTCACGTACGTAAACTTATGAATGTTTACGTTATAGTGACTGGGTGCTTGAAACATAATAATAGAAGTTTGTCTGGTACGTTCTCTTAAAAAAGATTTAATACTGGGGATAAGAGAAAAGTGTATCCTAGGCCAATAGGAATCAACATTATCTCGTCATTGCCCAAGATCAACTGAAGCTTATCATTGGTCAAAGAAAAGAACATTAGTAAGCAGACGAAAAGGTATACTCAAGGCAGAGAATTCTGAATCCAGGTGCTGACTGATGGATCTTTTTTAGTGATATTTATCAAATCATAAGTCATAATAGCATTGAGTTCGTATGATTGGAGGCAATTTACAGGAATCTCACTGTAAATCGTATCCAAGATTCACCTGTAATATTGAAAGAATTAACACTTGATGTGAAATTTGAACTAATGGTATAATTAGAAGCGTTAATACTAAGCTCGGTTCAGAAGTGATCAATCATGACTTGAATAGTTCAGTACTGACATCACAAACTATGGTATTAGGCGAAAGGGATTCGAATTCCGTAAGGATTATCAGTTCTTTTAAGACTGAGAATACGATCTGCTGTCGACTATTAAGTTACAAGATTATCTACAACTACAGCTAAGTTAACAATAATAACCTGACAACTAATTTCTATGAGAAAGAGGTAGAAATGTACAATTCAACAACATATAAAAGCTGAGAAAATTATATTGTTTCAATTCAAATTTCTACATGTGATAAGAGAAAAAAAACAGTTGAATAGAACATAAAAACTAAACAAGAATGAGGATATGTGGAGATAGGGAATTATTAGGTAAAACAAATTATAAGCTAATAATTAAAATTCATCATAATTATTTGAATGAATAATATTCTTTTTAATTAAGTCTTCTTAAGTTCTACGATTATATTATTCAAATTAATAATCGCAAAAACTGCCTATGCTTAAGACGAATTACATCGCTTAAAATTATAACATGTATATTTAGGATTGTTTGTAAAATAATAATGTTGAAATGACTAGTATTCGGTGTTAATTTGAATGAGTTTATACCTTCCTCAAGCAGAAATCGGAGTAATAAGCCTTACAAACCACTGGATTCTGACTCAGTGACCTAGAGGTAAAGCGTTCGAGCGTGAAACCAAAGCACCTGAGTTCTGTTCCCGATTGTGTGGTTATGGATGTGCACTATTAAGGAGTCCCAATCTAGAAAAAAACAGCCGTCCAATTCATCTAGGTTTTCAATAGCTATCTTACTTTGATTGGTTCGTGATTTCAATAATATTATTATTACCATCATTGTTATTATTATAACGCTCACAAACATTTTGAGAAATTTACTCAGCACCCATTCCTATGTACTAATTCCTATCTAATATTTATTATTTACACACTACGTTACTCATGACCAAATATTTATTTTGATTTGTAATTACATTATTATCTCATCCCATGTTACCTATATTCATAATAATCATCTCAACATTAACAGTTTCATGTTAATTTACAAATAACCCAAAGTTCCCGTGTTCTAATTTTAAATTATGCATTTGTCGTAAGCCTGGCCACTTTTTGAGATTGTTAATTTTGATGGTAATACAAATGTAGAACTAGAAGAGAGTTGGTTGGAAAGTATATTCTTCGTTTATATAAATTTGTGTTTTTTTAATATCATGGGAAGTTTTCAACGATTCAATAAAAGAAAATGAGTTTACCACGTACTGAAAGCCTATTTCATAACAGTATATCATACAATTTCTGGTATACGATTGAATCCTATTCACCTTACTTGATGATGTTTAATTGAAGAGACATGAAGTGAGGTAGTTTCTAATGTGAACAATTTAGTTTTATGATATTACAAATAAAAATGTTTTTTGTCAATAAGATAAACGCGAACAGCTGGATTATTCGAATGTTATTAATTGTTCTAAGTAATCATTATTAGCTGAAGGCTCTGGACTTCAATTTTACAAGGTAGTTGTTGTTAACCATTTTCGAGTTATCATCCTTTCTTCAAAGTCACAGATGTTACAACTGAAACACTAGTGACACTTAAATTAACTATATGATATTTAGTATCCAAGTGATGTTAGGCAGTAGTTGAATCGAAAGGTAACTTAAACAATTCAGAATTCATTAAATCATGAAAGTGTTAGTTGAATTGTTGTCAAGTGATTTGACCTAATATAACTTAGAATCATATTGGACTTAATTAGATTTCAAATGTTAAGTATAATCATTACTAAGTGTTAAACAAAGCCTAATGCTTTACAGTGAAGCACAAACCTAGTTGGCGAGATGCACAGTACGATAGGATGAATACTTTTAAACAAATGTATTCAAAACTTGTTATATTAACAGGGGATGGGAAAATGTTCACTTTTGTAGATAATTCTTATAGTTCATCTAAAATGTGAATGTAAATATACATATATATTATTGAACTGACCATATATTATACAGCAACCTGGATATATATACCTCATAATACGCCTATTCATTCCTATCATTTTGTTGAAATCTATCGTAATTTGTCAGGCGACGGTAAACTAGGAAGATAAACTAGCAGGGTTACAAATACTGATTATGAAAATGATGACTGATATGAAAAAAATATCAACCGATTATCAATAAAAACTAGAGAAAAGAACATGATTAGTTAAGAATAACTGTTCAGTTAATACACAATCCATGTAATGTTTGCTAAGTAGAGAAAAACTGAGAGTTTAGACATGAATAGGCATATGATAATCGATCCAGCAGATCAGTCAGCTAACACAAAACTCAGAATTTTCAATAAAAACGTCAACATGGTTATATTGTACGGAGCTTAAAATTGGAGATCTACTGAGACTATCATCAAAAAGATGAAAGTATTTATAAACAAATGTCAGAATTAGTACACTAGTTTTGTAGAAATATTTGAATTTTTCATAGTTTACATCATGGACTAATCTTAGATAACAATTAGGAACTAGAAAGTACTGGACAGATGTTTTGTCCTCGCATGGGACTCCTCAGTAGTCGATATCAACCAAGGACTGAAGCCGGGGACCTCGGTCTTGCAGTGAACGCTTGACCTTTAGAACGCTGAGCCAGTACATCCAATGATACAAACGTAGAACTTCAATCACTTCATGATATTACCCGTGATTATTGTTATTATTAGGACAGAAAGTCCAATGCTCAAAAGAAACAATCGTACAAATGCTTCCTGGTCTTCAACAGATGTTTCAGTAAGGTAATTGGTTTGTAATGTAACCTCCATTAACCCCTTACATGTATATGAATTTATTCACTATCACACGTAAATTGTTTCATGCTTAAATTAACAACAGAACGTAGTAAAAATAGCGAGGCAACAAAAAAGTTTCTTACATTTAACATATCGATAGGTAAGGGAATAGGTGGATTATGTTTACTAATGACAGAAGATACATTCGATGGATTGTCAGTGGAATCACGAATATGTTCATTCGAAGAAGAATCCAATTCTTTAGCACCGACTGGCCAAGCATCTTCGCCAACTTTTCGCCAACCGCGTAAAAGGCTACTCAGGTGAAAAAAAGCAGAAAAGACATATCGGTATCAGAAAAACTCATATTGTAATAGACAGAAAATAATATTGCGTTAAATTGTATACATGATAAACCGAATCGAAATTTTTAAAGATTATTTGATAATTGGAGTACTGATCGAAGTCATACTTGCTTAATTCTTAATTTCGATCGAATTTATAGATTACGTTGTAATTTGGTCACTATTTCAAGCGAATCGGCAACGTGTGTATTGTGTTCCAGTTTTAAGGTAGGAAGTCTACAAGAAATGATGTTTGGCTAAGGTTTTGTGTTAGATGTGACACGTATGTACTATTGTAAGGTCACTGCACAATAGGTAACTTAATATATAATTGTAAGTAAAACACAAACGTCAATAAAACTTATTATCATGGTTTAGGTTTTGACTTAAAGAGGTTAGTGGGAGATAGCAGGAAGCTCCGAATCAATGTTACGTGCTGGTTAAGAATTAATAGCAAGGCGTACCTGCAATCTTGAGGGAACTGGTATTCCCTTTATGGTTTGAACTAGAACCACCCATCTCTATATATTGATGCTGAGCTCTTGACAAATTTACTTATCATCACCCACTGTAGTTTTTGCAGGAAATATACATCAAAAGTATTACTATTGAACCGTTAATCACAGTTTCTTATATTCTTCAATAAAAATCACATGTTTCCTTTCAACCTACGCAATAAACATACTCAAATTAAGATAAAAAGTTAATCTCTAAATAAAATTGTACTACATTTACAAATTATTTTTTATTGGTAAAAAAACACTAAATTAACTCGCGCATTATACATTACATTGAGATTGAACGAAATCTTAAAAAAAGACTTAATTCAGAGAAGGTAAATTCAAAAATTGTTTACAGGTAGTACGTGCTTCAGGGCCAAGGTAATTAAATGCAGTCGATAGGAAAGTTTAGACAGAGCTTTTATGGCAACTTTTCATACAGTGATACTGATGGTCAAGGTTCAAATCATACACTACAAATTATCAGTTCTCTCAAGATTGTACATATACCATGCTAATGAATAGAAGTAGCATGAAACATAGATCAAGTAGCGTTGTTTGCAGACTATCTCTAACCACCTAACATTTAAATGTCGCGCATCCAATCTCAAAAAATTTGGGAATAGTGACCACATTGTAATGTGATCAATTGAATTCAATCGGCAAAAAAAGACTAAGCAAAAACGTTATTGACCATAACTTTGTTGATTAGAAACAATCACTAAAAAAATGGATTGCGTAATAAGGGTAAGATAGGATTGTTCTAGTAATAATAACAATAATAATAATATCAAATATTTTTAAGAATTTTATAAATAAAACGAATAATGATTGAGATTATGAATCGATCATTGTTAGACCACCACTAAAAATCTGGAAGCTCTAGACGGTCGTTTCGTCCTAGTATAGGACTCTTCAGCAGTGCTCGTCCACGATCCCGCAAGCGGAATTCGAGGTTTTTAATGATGGCCTAACATTGATTAATTTATAATCTCAGTCAAAACTCAACAGTCTTAACAACTCTATACCGATGAAAATGAGTAGCTGATGTTTATCACTGGTGTTATAATCATTCAAACAGTTAACAACTTTAAAAATAATGACAGAGGTCTCATGTTTTAAAAAAACAATCCACAGAAGTAGACGAAAGTTAAATATGACAAATAATTGGTATGTTTCTCTGATTAAATTGTATCTGTTGATTTGCGACTTTTCATTGAAAAAGAAATTACAATATACAATTTTTCTTACTTGATTCTCCTTGCACTGTATCTTATATTGTGTTTACTGCATAAATCATTTGTTCATTGGCTTACGTATATTTTAGATCATTTGGTTACTTTATTTCTAAAGTCATCAGGTATACTATTTACACATAGTTGATGTGATCAGTTAGCTCATTTAACAGGTACGAATTCATAGACATGGCTTACAATCACACTATGAGATCTAAAAGCTAATAATACTATCCATTGTCTATATCGAAGTGTGTAGATTGGGGTTCGAACCTGCGACTGAAAGTCTAAATTCCTAACGATTAAGATACTTATCCATAATGGATGTACTTTTATGTCATCTTTTAAAAATGATTAACGAAAAATTTATTCATGAAATACACAGCATCAACTTTCAGAAGGGATACAGAAATAATCAATAAATCATAATAAAAAAGCAGCATTACGATTATTATTGTCACCATAGTTAGAAAAACAAAAAAACGTTAAACAAATTCGAACATGTGACCATAAGCTTAGAAAACTTCACTGAGTCATGGTTGTCCTTTAACTAATCTATTAAATACACACACCATAATTTCTAACTATAGGTATTTTAAAAGAATTTGAGTGGGGAATTTAGATAAGTGTGCATTGACTTTTTCTATAAAATATGATTTATAAATATGTTAGTTTTCATCAACAGATAATTTTTCTCTGTTGTCAGTAAAGGGTTGTGGAGATGCTGAATTCTATTAAAATCATGAACTGAATTAAATTAGACCATCATTGAAAACTTGGAAGCCATCGACCGCCGTTTCGTCCTAGTATTTCACTCCTCAGAAGTGAGGATTCATGACCTCGAAATCGAGAATAGGACCTGCGGCATGCGAATACTTCACTTGAATGAAGTTACACTTGTACATCATTAGATCCCGGAGTCTGATACTATGACGAAACGGCTGTTCGGCACTCCCAGGTTTTGAATGGTTGACTAACTTAGATCAATTCGAGCTATTCAAAAGGAATCTCGCATTATACATATTACGCACGGTATCCAGTATTTCACTTCGATTCCTAACAACCTGAGGTAAGAAGTTTGATTAATATGCAAGAAGACAGAAAGGCCAAGATACAGCCTAAAACAAAGCTGCGTTATTACGAGTCTCTCTACAGTTTAAACCAATACAGTGAAACGACAGATGACCAATTTGAAAAATGACAAGGTAAAAATAATAATGACACAAACCATAGCAGAGAACGAAAACGTATTCAGAGGAAAAATGAACAGAGGGAATATAAGGGTGAAATAATAAGATTCTCAAGATTTACAGAAAGATGAAGTGTATATATCCTCTATAATTAGAACAAATTTTAAAATGCATCACCTCAAGTTCCTGAAAATTAATAAAAACTAGCAGACATAATGATATTATACTACCTGAATTGTTTGAACAAAGTAGATGAAACGATGTTTAAGGTGCTAAGGTGTCCGAAAATATCCTTCATCAAACTGATTCGCACCATATCTATGTCGTTTCAGTTGACTTGTAGAGTAATTTAGAGTTCTAAAAGGCGACTACGATGGCAGTAGTAGGCGTTCATGTAGTAGACGTATCACAAACCAGGCTGCTCAGTTATTGGAAATCAGGTAGTTTAACTACCATATTGCACCGTTCTATAACCACTAACTTTAACTGACCTTAGTTATCAGTCAACCTACTCTTAAATTAGCTAATATTGAGCGTTTAGGTAGGTAAAAATTAGACATGTAATTTTACAACCGAATGGTCACTGATTAGTGAGCTATGTCACAAATCCCAAGTCCCTCCTGGTGCTGACCATATTTGATCAATCATGTTGTAATGTGACCGCTAGTCTAAGTAACTCGATACCACAGGCGATGGCTAACATTAGTAAACGAGATACCCTGAACCTATGTTTCGTAATATTTGGCAATCGTCAAAAAGGTGTGCTTGTAATCCTGAGGTGACTGATGTTCCCTGACGGCTAATCAATTGCGAATACTCCTCAGTCCTACTGGATGTTAATCGTAGCCCTGGTAGTTCAGTGGTAATCATGTGTGAGACTGAGGTGTAGTATTTACAATTGATTGAAATGAGATAGGATCCACTTTAGAACAACATTCCTTTCAAGATCACAGTTAAATCATGCTGATGAGTGTGAAACAGCATGATGTCTAGGTCTATGGGATCCTGACGACTAACTTCAAACGCCACATTACAGACTGACGTAATACATATCACAAACAAATCAAGCTATGAAGATTCACAACCTCATTAACTCATTTGCCACTTTTACGTAATATCTTCTATGCCAAACACCAATACTTCACAAAATGCTTAGATTAAAAACAGTTTCAGTTAATCAGATAACTGACAAAAAAACAAGGATAAAACTGATGTTTAATGTTATTTTATAGCCAGTGGTGTTGAATTTCGAAATTTAATGACCAATACGTATCACACTATTTTATTCATTTGTAAATATTTACAACCTGGAATAATAAAAATGACATCAGGCTAATAATACCATAAATTTACAGACACTTTTTCATAGTTCTAATAATTATTCACTTAAATTATTATTAGAATTTAGTATAATAGTTTTAACTAAGTGATCATTATTGTACATTTAACTGGTGGTCTAAACAATCAATTCAAATGTATACACATTACTGATGAGTTTAATCATAAAATGAAAGAAACCACTACCAAACGTCTACATCCTCACTTTAATTTATATAGTTAACAATACCGGTTGGAGCCAACAGGTTTCCCTTTCAACTAGTTGTTATCATTAAGTAACATATACTACTAAAATACGATGTAAACACATAATTTAACTTAGCTGTGCACAATATTCAACATATTTCACAATTAAACCATTAAGACCATAATTTGTAATAATACATATATATTAACACTTGCTATAAAAAACGATAATTAAATCGTTAAGTTTAAACATTAAATCCTTCAAAATATTGATAAACGAATGACACAAACAATTATTTATACACGCTAGTGGACTTTGAAATGATTAGATGATTGTTTCAATAAATAACGCTACCAATATTTAAATCGTATTTAACATGTAATAAATATTATGTGATAAATAATTAACAATTAATGTTAAGTTTTTAGTCCATCAGATAGATAACTATTTGGAACACTACTACTGCTACTAGAAATGGTAGTAGTATGATATATGGTCTAGAATAGAAAATCGGATGGAAAAATGGGAAATGTGTCAAGCTAAATTGTTGAAGTGCACGTGATTCGAATCGTCATCATCTTCAATATTATTATTCATCCCTGCTATGTAACCACAATAATTCATTGAATCAGGTATCATTTAGTCTCTTCAATAATCGCTATCTCCTATCTACCACAACTCATTTATAGTTTCTCATGCAACAAAATGAAAACAAGTGAAATAAACATGGAGTACGTAATTAAATAATAATAATAATAATAATAATAATAATAATAATAATAATAATAATAATTAGAGGTAAACAATTAAATTATTCAGTTCAGAGGAAACATCAATATTATACAGAAATAAACATAATGTTAACAAAAACAACATACTATTCTCATCAATTCACTAACCTAGGCATTTGTGGACCCCAAAGTGTATAAACATAATTGTAGAACATATTTTTATGTGAATAAGGATTTTTATGACCAGCTTGTTTTACTATACGCGGGAAATGACGTATCTAATCGATAAGTAGAATAAAAACAAATACATGTGATAATATACTTATACAGAAAACAAACTATAAATATTTTTTAAGAAAAACCAGAAATATTCAATAAGGCAAAAAAGATCGTAGATTCAATAAAAGTGAGCTTTACGTGATGATTTTCAATGAAATGACTTTGAACAAGTAGAAAAAAATTTTTAGCCGATCAAAATGCAAGTTCTGTAAATGAATGATTTATCATAACAAAAAAACTACACAAATCACGTTAGGATCTGAAGGTCAGTAAGCTAGTGATGATATACTGACGATTTGATCTGATTAATCTCCATTGACAAAAGAAAAAATTGAATAGATGTTTGGAAGTTAGCTGTTCACAAGTTGATTAAGTTTGAGATAGTGTATAACGGTGGAATACAAGATGGTAGTTCTGTCAGCTGGAAATACTAGTAATCTGTTATTTAGCAAAATGAATACTGGGCTGTAATTTCAATGTGAATAAAAACAGTGAGATATAGATTTATTTGACAAGTTTAAACAAGGATGAAATGGGCACCTGGTGTTTCATTATTAGTTATTATATAAAAGAGAATATATATTTGTAACAATAAATAACTACACACGTAAATAAGGTAGTTGGTAGTAGTCAGTTAGAAACGTTACTTAATCTAGATTTCGTGCTCTTCAGGACTAACTAGTAACGCGTATCTGTAATCCTGAGGGAACTGATGCTACCTATGTGGTTCGAATTTGCATCAATGACCTTCCAATGGACTACTTCCAACCACCTAATAATTCAACATACTGTAGCTAATATCGAGTCACTTAGGTTATTAACCGAATTACCGATTGATCGGTCAAATTTGAATAGTATGAAGGATTAAACAAACATAATTGTCACTACTCAGTGATCAAATATTTATAGATTCACATATATTATTGACAGTGCAGTTGGTTTTGCTTTCATCACGTGTGATGACATTTTTTCGATAATCGATCAATCTTTATATTCATTCATCACATTAAGATTGGATAGAGTCATATCACCAGCAGTTCATCATTTAATTATTATTGCCTCAAATTATACCAACCAGTATGTTCATTAAGATTTAGACTTTCTTAAACTTCATATTATTCTATCAGGTCAATTCGATAACATTTATTTTTAAGCATCATTTATTTGTGAATGTTTAAACCTTTCATCTGTTGATATTAACATCAGTCTTTTTGGTATATGCGCATTGTGAGCTGATTGTTCCAATATGCCCATGAACCCAAAATGATTTCAGTAAAAATGAACAAAATTCGTCCCAGATGTCCAGGTCAGAGGTTATCTGGATTCAACAGCACAGTGGATTCGAGTTGGTAGGCTTGAAGTGAAGGGTACTGGGTTCAAGTGGCAATGTGAACAACACTAGAATAATGAAAACATATCCAGTTAACGAGTCTCAAATAGGATGAGATGTGTATCATGGATTTCATTGTAAGCTACTCTCCATTTTTATTTCAAAACTTCTAAGCATATTTAGAAACTTTTGTGAGGTTCATATGACAGGAAAAATCATGCGGAAAAATATACTATGATTAATCTATTCGGTATTACCTACAGAAAAAGTTACCATACATTAAATCTATTTATTATATTGATAACAAAACGAGGATTCGCCGAAAGGAATATTTATGAAAATGTAACATCATAGACAACTATATATATATATATATATATATATATATATATATCAAACAATCCCACAAAAAGAGGTTTACATGTGATAAGAAATTTGTTAACCAGATCAATAAATGCTGGTTTTATTTATCTAAAATTGAAGTGATTCAAGCATATTAAAGATCAATTGTCATGAAACGGAAGTGTACAAGAACAAGAGGGTGAGCGATGATAGAGAATGACATTCTTGGTTTTGTTCAGAACTAGTAGAAAAATGGTGATTAAGGAAATTCAGTGTGACAAATGCAATCAAGTTGTCGAGTAAAATATTTGGATATTCGGGATCAAAGGAAAGACAAAGTGAACGCATCTGTGTTATTGAGACCGATTCTGAGTCATATCATCTAACATCTTCGAAGGATGCTATAAGTAATCGAGCGAACTCCAATCAGATAGTCTGCACCCACTAACATGGCTTAAACCAACAGTCAACAACTTCCTAAATTGCTGACATGTCTTGGTTCGGCTGCCCAACTCCTGGACTAGTTAACATTGCGGGTCGAGGTGCGGGGTGGTTGAGTATACGAAATACATGCCCCAACTATTTCAGTCGACAAAGATCCCAAATATTATAATCGATATACTATTTCTGTCAATTAACCTGAATCTAACTTCAACGTTGCTCCTTTAGTGGTCCCAACGTACATGAACAGTACTTCGACACTTATGTTAATAACTTAGTATAGTACTATTTTTATACATTCGGTTTTGTCTAACAACATCTAGTTAGTCTAGTGCGACCGCGGTGATACAACAAAATAAACATTTCCAACCTGTTGCCAAACAATAAATGTTCAGTTAAAGAAGACTACAATTTACATATTGTGTGGATCAAAATCTAGGGATGAGTTTATGGGAAAAGTCATCCAAGCATGATTTAGTTGACACTTTTTACATCTGCTTTCATAAACCATGTAAAGGATGCAAATAAATACGATTCAAGGCCACCCTTTTTATTACTCAACCTTACTGTTTCGTCGTCAGAAAAAATACTCCCATTCTCGCTTATACACCACTACTTGGTAAGTGGTTACACGTTACCTAACTCTTACATTCACATTGCTATCGTAAACTACATTCCTCACATTTACACAAAACGTTCGAAAAGCAAATATTCGGAAATTTATGTGCAATGTTTTCGATATAATGGTTTTGTTGAGGCAGAAATCTTCATAGACACGGTTTGAGAATATTTCCATAGTTATACACAAGTTACCCCATCTATACATATACATGGACAGAACTACGTAGTCTAGGAAATACCCCGCCATAAATGAACAAAGGTTTTTAAAACGTTTTTGAGGAAGCAATAACTATAGAGCCAATTTAATTTACACTGCTGGAAATAAACTTAAGCATACACAAACAGCAACATCTGTGGCTGCTACAGGACAGAATTTAAAAACCGCCAAACGGTATAAAATGCAATGTAATACGGAAATTTAGATAGCCGTATTTCAGGGCACTTTTAACACTATACATTATATTTGTTCGCCAAAAAGTGGAGCGCTGTACATATGGGACCAACTTTTGTCTTTATAAAGATTTTAAACTAACAAGAAAGATTTAGATATTTGCAACTAAAGTGACTTCATTTAACCATAAAATTATCGTGGACTTTTAGTCCAGTTGAGCTAAGCATAACTCTCATTATACAAAAAGATAAAATTTGATATAATTTCATCAATAAGATTACTTGATGATTGTTTAAACTTGAGATATGTTCTTCTTTTTTTACTTTCAAAGCGCCAAATCTATTCCCACACACACACATACACTACAAGTCCTCAACTTTAAAGCCCGTTTCATTTGCCAACTTTGATACTAAGTATTTTACATCAAGATCTAAGCACAGATAAATCAATCGGTTTACACTAGATCGTTCATAAGATAATGAACATAAGTCAAGAGCTTAGTAAGGCTCCAACTCAACATGTGGTAACAGTTTCTTCCATAGTTGATCATATTAATATACTAAATAGTTAACGTTTAAAGTCTACTAATCAGATCCAATTTTAATCTTAAATCCATTTTTTTAAGTTTAACAGAAGCTAATGCTCAAAAATTTACTAAAAATAATCTCTAATTACGAAATCTGCATATTCAAGTTCAATGAAGTGATTATCATTATTAGTACAAATATATATATATATATATATATATATATATATATATATATATATATATATATATATATAGGCGCCTGAGCCACCGATTCATCTCTGTGTGACTAGATATTATTTATTCGCCTACAAAACATATATGTTTAGAGAAATTATATCATGAATGATGTTGTAACCTTGAAACTAGGCGCTGCATATATTGAAAATCAAGCACATTTTACTAATCATTTAGATATTATCAGATGGAACCAAAAGGCTAGAATTCACAATATGTTCTAGTCTTGAACTATGAATTAAAATTCATCTTTCGAAAGTCACGCGGAATAATGTTCAGAAATCCCACGCTTTGTGTAGCCTATATAACCTGCTACACAAGAGTAAGTAAATTTATAAATAGAGATTGGGCCACATCACTGTATATTTTTATGTTACTATGTAAATCTGATAATGATTTAACTGTAACCTGATTTTCCTTCGATAAAATCAGAACGTTAAAATACTTTTATATAGAGTTTCCATCTTGCTTTTTTTTGCAAATTAACGAACAATATGTTTAAAGTGAGAAAAGTGTAAGAATATCAACTAGATTTGTTATTTCACTGCTTACCGTCATATTGATTTGTCAACTAACATATTATCTTTTCTTTAATTTAACCTTTTAATTAATAAACTGAGAATGAAGCATAAGGTCTACATAATAATACTTAATATTATTCTGTGACATTCCATTGATAAGCGAAACAATAATCTTTGATAAGAGTTTAAAACTTGATGTCACCTTTATCACGGATTAAAACAAACATATTGAGTGCAAACTTTGTATAGATTGTGAATAGAAGAATGAACACATTAATGATGCTATTCACTGATAAAAATGTTTTTTTTAAAACATTTGCAAACAATAAAAACTCATTCTTTAAGTAGAATAATATGAAATAACGACTCGTTGATTATTATGGATATAAGAATAAAAATGTATTTATGATAACCCAATGTGCTAAGGTTAGACACATAACACTATTAAGCAAAAATGGTGAACAGATTGATGAGGGAACGTTCATATTCATTGACTGAGATAATTGTATTATGTATTAAATATACTCAACTGCAAAGTACGAAAACGCGTAATGTTTGTTGGTGTGTAGGAGTAGGTTGAAAGAAAGATATGAATGATCTAACCAAAATGTCGCATCAGTCCATGAGGTTACTGACAGTCGAACTGAGTAATGTTAGTACATACAGATTATCAGGTAGAAGTCCGCACGAAAACTGTAATAAAATGCTGGAGGATATTGGATGACATGGCTCAGAATCGATCTCAATGCTGTAGGTGCATTTATTCTTTGTTTGACCTTAGATTTTCAGTTTTAAAATTATCGTGTACTCTTTTACCCCACAAATTTATTCTCTCTCGATGAGTAATCTATTCTACTCCGAATGGCTTCTACTAGTACTACTACTGTAAAACACAACATGCAGGGAATATTGCAAACATATCATTAATCATTATTGTTATAAAAGATATTAACTAATACTCAGTTTGTTTGAAATTAATTCCTAATTACTTTATACACGCCCTCCTGTACACTCTCAACACCCATCTCCTACCTGCATACAGAGCACCTTTGTCTAAGTGCAAACTGCTACTGGCTTCGTAATAAAATATCATTAAACCTATCTTGAAACAAATTACAATTGAATGTTTGATTATTATATATTGAGGTAGTCTGTGGAAGCTTGTTCAAACTAAAGATCATTTCTTCTACAAACTTTAGTATGGGTAAATTTACAAAATGGGAACTGGTAGGTTTTTTACGTCCTACCTTCTGAGTTCGATTCTGTGTCTCAGTGAGCTGTTTGTTGGTAAATTGAAATAGGAACAAAACAACTATCCATAGAGGTAACTTATCATATCGTCAGTTGATAATGAAAACAAACTTTGGCTTCAAATTAGTAACCATATACACGTCAGTATAACCAAACGCTTGTCGGACGTGATAAGAACTGATTAGTTAGATCAAAATAATTGTTTGGATATATAATGCAATGAACAAATTAAATTTGTAAAAAATCAATTAGCTGGTAATCAAGACGTGAGACTAGTACATGAACTCATTAGTTTGAGTTACACTGGTAGGTTAATACTATCTCGTCGAAATACACAGAAGTTTCAACTACAGGTTAGATACGTTGAGTAACGTGACTCATAATTGGTCGTAATTGTGCATAGATTTCCGTTCTTTGCTTACCACTAGATCCTGTGTTTTAATATTTCATGATTGTTATTCTGCAAATTAACTCTTTCTTCTTAAATTATACGTTTCATGACTAATCGTTTTTAATATAACTGATACTTTTACTACTACTACTACTACTACTTCAATATTAAACTTGATAAATCCACCTATTCGTGTTAACGTAGTATGAGAACTTGAGCTGACACACATTTACGTTAAGTTCTAAGATGTTTATAACTTACCGATTGCATGACTGATACAGCGTGAACATCTTGTACAAAGAATCATAAATCCCAGTTGACTCAATGAAATAACTCTAAGGTTTTGTATGATGATCTTCTCAAGTAGTAAAAACATTGAGTTCTCATTCACTCTATTCGTTTTCCAGGATAGTTATCTCTTTCGACCTCTAATTAAATCAATATAATATACAATCCAAAATCGAAAGACTAGAAAGGTGATATGAATTAGAACTCAATAATCAACTTAGATATATAAATATGTCAAGAACTGAATTATTACCATCATCATACATCTAGTTTACAGTTAATTATTCCAAACCAACAACATACCTTCTTGAACTAACAAAAATACACTTATAAAATATAGGAAACGTTTTAATAATATAAAAATTAACTTACATCTTCATGAGTTGAAAATCCTCGACACATCAATGATGTATGATAACCTGATAAACCGAATACTGTCCACATTGCGGAGAAAGTGATCAATATATCAATTATTGTGTATGATGAAGCAAAGGAAGCGACAATTGCAAATCAATAATTTTTTTTATACAGAAAGAAAAAGCCCATTCCATTTATTCATTCGATCCATTAGTGATTATAATGATGATGACGATGATGATAAAGATAAGATGATTTAATTAAGGTATTTTATAGCTAATCAAAAAATATTTATAGAAGAAACTGAGAAAAGATTTAGTGAATGTTGATAAATAAATCTATGAAGTCAGTTTTTATCAGTAAATCAACTGGGATTTAAAGAGAATTAATAAGAGACGAAAAACTATTCTGTTTTAATCTGATTTAGAGAAGTTGAAAATAAATTTAAGATGTGTTTCAATGAGCCTGATTACTGGTTTAAATTTATAATTCATAAGGTTAGTTCGTAATCGATATGTGAAGTAAATACTGTTTGCTGTACTTTGAATACTGAAACATTTTTTTAAAAGAAAAACTGACAACTAAATCTTCGATTAACTGAGTTTTTTGTATGTTCTTATTTCCCAAGTAGTTTGCATCAATTTTCTAATCTTGTTTAAGGCAACGATTGGTTTACATTTAAGCCGTGAAAGGATATGTTTTATTGGATTTTCTAAAAAAAATTAGATTAGAAGTGGTCTTGAAGACCTGGTAGCATGGTTGTAGATCGACGAACAGCTACTTGAAGCTAATCATACAAACCATTTTTGTGAGTAGCTCGTAAGGTATCAGCTCTACACCGTAAAAACCTTATCGGCGGTGACAGATATTTGTGGGACAGTTATCAGGGTCATTCTTTTCTAATCCTTACCTTCTGCAGTGAGAAGACAGCATTGTAGCTGACGTTAGACGTTGGAGGGAAACAACATACACTCACGCCCATACACAGTCTGGAGCATTTCTCCCAAACACCTTAAGTTAACACTCAATCATACTGTTCTCCAACTAACTCGTCTTGCATGGTAGGACCAAAAGAAACAAATGATACAACTAATACAGCTCGATTGGGTTATCATAATATGTGACTACGATCACCACCTCAAGATTGTGCATTAATTTACTGTTTATTCTAATATGAATTCCATATATTTTGGCGGCTTAACCAGAATATGGCATCGATCCATGAAGTCACTGAAAATTGAACTCAGCAATGTTAGCAGGTACAGATTACTTGCTTAGGTTCCGTATGATTATCGTAACCAATGGTTAGAGACTTTGAATGACGTAGCCCGAAACCGTTTGCAATGGCTCAGGCGCCTTCATTCTCTATCTTTCCCCGAATTCTGAAATTCTAAATTCCTCACAACTTTATTCTCGATTTTATTTAACTAACTTATATTTTCTTTTCGAGTTGTATCTTCGATACCCAGTTTTTTTATTACTGTTACTGCCTCTACCATTCGGAGATTTAGCCCGACAATACAAACTCTCTGTGCTAATGAGGTATAGCAACATAAACCGGTGCACGTAGGTACCAGGTTCAACGTTGTGAGTGTCTGACATATATTTTAGCAATTTCAAAGGGTGAACAGTTGAGACGATTTATTGTCATTCTATATTCTGATGTATACTTTATTTATTGAGGACAGGTTTACGTAATTTGATCTACAATGTTTACATGTGTGTGAAGGGTATTGTTCCGGGTTCACTGCCTAAATAAAAATAGCTCGGACGGGGTGTGAACTTGTGACTTATCAGTTGAAATCTGAATTTAGAAACCTGTAACAACGTGGTGTTTAGAGAAAGATAATTACATCGAAAAACTACTCAAATAGCACGTAACTTGATGGAACTTTGTTATGCCCGATTGACGAAATCTAAATTGCTGTTCGACGGATGTCAGTCTTAAATTCTATTTTATTTAAAAGTCAAGCTTATAAACTACTAATGAAGAGTTTAATATTATGATAAAATGGCTATTTAAAGCTGTCAACATCTGTAACTATTACTCAAATTATGAGAATATGCAATAGAAACTCCTCCGAAACTAATGACTTCAATTACTAATAATCTGAACTTATTGGTTTAATTGATAAGACATTGACATTTGATGTGTTTATGTAATAGATTCGAATCACAATGTAAGTATCAACACGAAAATGGAGTTACACTCAATGAACAAGTTTGAAACAAAATGAAATATTTTCCAAGAATATAAAGTGATTTTAAATAACACTTCTGAATCTGTTGTTTGGAAAATGTTTACAATAAAACCAGCTAGTCAATCATACACAAATAAACAATTATAATTAATTATAATAACATCAACATTTTATTATCAAAAATCACATGAAAAGGATATGAAGCGGGAGAAATCTTGATAGCCATTATAATATCTTCATACTTTTCGTATACTATTCATAATAACGATAAAAAAAATAATAATATTCATCCGTATATTGACGACAATCATCATTAACCACCATCATCATTGCCAACAATCATCATCATCATTGTTAAGATTTACGTAAATAATTCAGTAGATAAAATGAAGAAATTTATTTTGGGAAAGAAAATAACAAACATATTAATAGACGAAATAATATACAAATAAATTAATAAATAAAAATCAATAATTGACAGTTTAACGACAATCATAATAATAATAAATGTGAATATTTGATGAAAAATTCAATTAATTAGCGCTAATAATCAGATCATAAGTTTATTAACGTGACTTGTAGTCTACAATTGTTTATACTCTAAATAAAATGATTTTTATTCAATGTTTAGAAATATTACGTCACTAACAATTTGATTTAACATTTAGTTGTTAACTGACCCAATCAATTTATTACGTATCATTAGTTGAATAACTGAAATTTATTCACAACGCTTGAAATACTTATATTGATTAGTAACTAAGTTGTGTTTATTGCTTTGTTTATATAGACCCTTAGTATTGGTTGAATTATATCGAACAATTTGTAATTAATCTAAGTAATTTGGCATTGTTTTAATGTTAGATAGTTGAAGGTAATGGACAAGAAATTCTTGCTTGTTAGTAAAATGTACTTGTAATTTTGCGGGAATTAGTATCTATTGTAGGACTCAAACAGGTGATATTTAACTTTACAGTTTGAGATGTTACTAGTTATTTAATTTATGATCATTGACAAAAAAGATAGGCAGTAGTTATGAGTTGAGTTATCCGCTTTGAAATGAAGTGAACTATGAATCTATTGACATACTTGAATGTAGTTAATAATTGTTGAATTAAAGTTGAATCGTGAATGGAAACCTCCACAATTGCAATGAAGATACAATTAAAAATAGTGATTGAATAACGTCTTATTGAGAGGGAGGGCAGATACATGCACGTTCTAGCTATTAATTTTAAACTTTTATACATACATACTAATCTTCTGAAATATTGTAACACTATCTATCTATACTGGTGGTAATAAGGGTAAAACTATAACTTATGGACAACATTTGAGAGATGCTTAAGTGACATTGAGAATGTCGACCTACTTACTAGGTTTAAACTAGGCTTATAAATTATTGTGAGAAATCAGGATTAGGATTTACAGTTGAACATTAGGGTCAAGTAAAGTAAGAGTTTTAATCACGAACTGACATCAGTTATAATGTTGAAATGCTACTTAGCCATATGGATATATGAGTTTCACGCCAGAATCAAATACTTGCTATCTTAAACCAGATTGGTTCATCCATGAATTATATTCCTGCCATGATAAATGAAATTTAGTTCAACAGACAATTTTGTGATATTTTTATATATTTAGAAATAATAATTCACTACAAACTAAGACATCAACTGAAAACAATTAATGGTTATGTTGGAACTCAATGGATCAGTGGATAACAAGTCGATGTTTAAAACAATAGATATCGAGTTTGTATCTCAGTATGTACAACAACACTGGGGTTATTATCAGAATGGGAATTTGTGGAGACTGGAGTAATTTCAATGGTTGAATTCATTAGTCAATTTAAGCTATACCACCATTGAAAACCTGGAAGCACTGTTTAACGGCCGTTTCATCCTATTAAGAGACTCGTCAACATTGCGCATCCACAATCCCGCACATGGGATTCAAACTCACGACCTTTGATATCACGTGTAACCGGTTAAACTTTAGACCACTGAGCCGGCATCCAAAGATGTTAATATCTAACTTCCATTGATCCATGGTCTTGGGCAACCTTTCATCTATTGTCTCGGGTGAATAACTGTCTCACAATCAACACCGACTGAACCCCACCGGTCATTACGGAGGAGTCTTATGTTAGGACGAAACAGCCATTCAGTGTTTCCAGGTTTTCATTACTGGTACAACATTGATCAGTTCATGATCTTAATTAAAATCCAAAAAGCGTGTTAGTTGAATAAAATTCAAAAAAAGAACTTCATAAAAATGATGATGATAATAATAACGATAAATAAATAAATAAAGTGATAATCTAGAAAACGGACAATTTTCTATCCTATGGACTGAGGGTAATACACTTTCATATTTGGAAATAGAATGATAAAAAAGAAAAGAAAAACAATTGTATGTATCTGTACAAGTTTATTTCTAGAATTGTTACTGCAAAACTTTTTTTAAAAATCATAAACACATGATAATAAGTTTTATAATGAAATTTATTGAATAAAATCTACACGTATATTTGGATTATCATTTGAAAATTTCATGACTTAGCATTTTGCTATAGAAAAAAAAACAGTTTGAAGGGTAGAAAAATAAATTATTAACTAAATTACATAAAATGGAAACTGTTCATGTAAATAATTGATTTGAATAGAATAAAGATAATTCTATTATTTAAGATATAGACTGTGTAGTAATATTAAATAAGAAAAATAGAATTCAAAGTGAAGAAACTTTTAAAGAACTACTTCTACGATGTACGCTCAAATAGATGAAGTTGTAATGGGTTTTCCATTGAGGTTATCTCTCTTGGCTGATTGTTTCATGGCCAATTTAGAAAATTCAGTACTTCAACCAATAATTGAGAGATTTCATTTATATAATAATACTTTTATTATCTGTGATGAAGACATGAACCTTAATGAAATTTCGAATAGTTTCAATAATTGTCATCCATCAATTTAATTTACCATAGAAGCATAGGCAAACAATGAATTTTATTTTCTTGATGTCCAACTGAAAAAAATGCTGGACGGTTTCTTACAGATATCTATATATAGAAAACCTACCTGGAATGGACAATATATGAATTTCCATAGTTGGGTCTCATTGAGTGGATAGAGGAACTTAATTCACCCTTTATCCTCTAGGATCAAGCGAATTTGTACCAGTGAAACAATAGATGGAGAACTATCTCAACTTCGACAAACTCTCAGCATCGACAGTACAGAAAACCTTGTTTATGAATATGGAATTTAAGGGAAACACGATTGCAGAAATCCTAAATAAACAGATTTCAAAATCGTCGAATAAAACCTTCTACGCAGCCAAGCTCCGAATTGTTTTCTCTAGCCGGCCGACCATTCTAGAATACGTTAAGGATAAACTCCCGCTTTGGGCCACATCAATGTGTATCTATAAATTTAGTTGCTCATGTGGGGGATGTTACATAGGCCTCACAAAGCGATCACTGTCTAAACGCATATCAGAACACTATCCGGTTTGGCTTTGAAAAAGAGAATGTAAAACAATTACTAGTTCTATACAGGGGCATTTAATTAATTGTGAACACATTGCTCCAAAAGATTCTTCCTTTAAAATAATCTACAATCAAAGGAACTGGATCGAAGGAGTATCGAATCAATATTTTATGCTCTGCTGAGGCATTGGCAATCCACGAACTCTCATCCTTCCTTGGCCCTAATTCCCTTAATGGATATGTTTCCGGTTGGGTTTTTTCGCGTGTTTTCTGCACTTTTATTTGATTAGTATCAAATTCTTTTAATTTTTTAAATTATTATTTTGCAATTTTAAATTCTAATCAGTTATTATTACTTTATACAAGTTTGCTTGATTATTATTCAGTTTATTATTATGACCTTTGTGTTTGTCGCTATTCTTCATATCTGTCAATTGAACTATTATCTGACCCATAAACTATTTTCTTCCTTACCCCTTGATTAGTACGTAACCTCATTTGTTATTTAGTCTCGAATCCATTACATGATTCAATCTTTTGTATCCTCCTATAGGTCTTGGGTTCGAATCCCGCGGGTCAGGGTCGTGGATGCGCACTGCTGAGGAGTCCCACAATAGGGCCAAACGACCGTACATTGCTTCCAGGTTTTCCATGGTGGTCTAGCTTTAATTGACTCATGATCTCAATCATTGAAACTATAGACATATATTTTCCAGATAACTATATATACGATTGTACAGCTTAAGGAAATGATTTCGTCGAAAAGATTATCTTCGCTGAATTCTTTTTTTCTTATTCAATGACACTATGGGTTATTTTAATTATCTGAAGACTGTGAACAATGTGAGAATATTGTTGACTATATTTTCATGGAAATGATAAAAGATTCAATGAAGAACAAATCAATGGCTAAAGACATTAAATAAATAAACTGACACTCGGACTAAAATAAAAAAGAAGAGGATTTAACAGAGAAAATATGAACAATTCTACCACGAAGAGTTAAAGGGATTAGAAAAAAGACTGTACAATTTGAAAATAGTTTCTTATAAATATGGAGCGACAGATTAGCTGGAAATCCCATTGAAAAAGAAAGATTAAATCTCGTTTGAGATTTATCATTTCATCAAGGGTTGAATATAGGGACTACAAATATGGCAACCAGTAATATACTGATAAGGAACTAAGTTGGAACGTAATTATCCACAATTACAATTATAGTTAACTTGAGATAGAGTGTGACTATCATAGAGTGACATCATAGCCAACAAACCAAAAGACAGATGACTACGCCTGAGTTCTGTTGATAAATGTAAACTTCCTAGTTGGGGTCTGTGCAGTAAACGCTATTAGTGATTGGAGACTGGGAGATATGGTTAGTAGTCGGTTACAACAAAGCAGATCCATTCATTTTTTGTCTTACTCTGGATCTTGATTTCCAGTATTCCTTCAGTAGTGATTAGGGTGTCCGACTTGCAGTTACTGAGTTGCGGGTTTTAATCCCTACCCACCCAATTCAGTGTGGGCAACCGGATAGGATAGAAACTCTCACAGAGTGCAGCTTTAGGTTAAGTACATAAATCTGTACCTGACAAATGAGTTAAATAAATAGATAAATAACTTTAGAAATATCATGAAGAATAATTCACGAACCGAATCTAAATTCACTTTACATAAAACAATAAATCAAAAAGTAGATATTCCCAAAAGATACTAATTGAATAAATTAAACTGAACTATCAGAATAAATATGAAGTAAATATATGGCAGTTAAATAAACCAAACAAAAATAAATATGGGGGTTATAGAGATTATTGAATCTTATTGGGATCACAAGACGATTTAAGTTAGACAACCATTGAAAACCTGGAAGCATTGGACAGCTATTCCTACTATAGGACCACTTGACAGAGTACATTCATAATCCCACTACCACGGATCGAATCCAAGACCTTTTGTCTCAAGTGAGCATGCCTAATCTTCAAACCACTGGGCCGAGATCCAATGATGTACAGGGTTAGACAACCGAGTCCCACAGCAAGACCTAGTGTTTCCCGGTTTCCGGTGGTTGCCTTACTTTAACCGGTTCATGATCTCAATAAAAAAGCAAACAGATACATTCCCGGAATCTACTTTAACTAACAATCAATAAATCGTAACGTTTGTAATTCAAAAAATTCAATCAATAGTTGGCAAAATAAAAATACAATTTTGATAAAAGCATCATGAAAAAATAAAAAGGTTTCCAATTTTAAAGAGAAATTTTAGCTTAAAAGTATTTCTCTAATAAGATTATTGTGAAAAAAAAACAAATTTTTCCGAATATTTTACATTGATAAGTAAACACATATTAAAATAGAAGAAAATCGATTCTCTTCTTCAAAACACAGATGAGCTGAACGAAACAAGAGAAAGGCAGTAGCTAAATTTAAGAAGACAGTGAAACTCCTCATCAAAGAAACAAAATCAATATATCGACAATAATGGAAAGTATCTAATGTATTATGTAATATGACAGTTAAACCCCTTTACCAAGGGTACACATAAGCTTATGTATATGACCTAAATCCACATTATTTGAAAAACTAGTAAGAAATAATAATTAGCTGGCTAAACTGAAATAGATATAGGGAAGTTTCAGTCTACGACCAACTGTTCATACGTTTGAGTACTTCAATGATAAAGCAAAAACTCCTATAAGGAGACAAAATGCTATTAAAATCTAATTAATGACAAAATAGAATATAAGTGTCATAATCTAGAGATTATTATTAGTACAGAAGGTTTGAGAATATCGTTGAATTTTAGTTTACGACACGAATTGACGTTAACTATACAGCTTTTAAAAACCAGGAAGAACTGGACAGCTGTTAAGTGATAAAGTACGGGACCCCTCAGCAATAAGCACCCACAACCCCACTATGGAACAAACCCAGAATCCTTAAATCTGGCAGCGAGTCCTTAACCTTTAGATTACTGAGACGGTATACAAAGATCCAACGCTTCTTGGTTTTCAATGACTCCCTTACTGAAGCCGGTCTATCATGCGAACAAAAAATGGACAATCTCTACAAAACTCTTATACTAATAATGATCATGTGATCACTAGTGGCCAATTTCAAGAGGTAATTTTAGAAACTGTAATGAGAAGTCGTGATTAGTGGAGTTCAGCTATGTAAAGTCTGAGACACTTTCCACCAATGGTATTGGGAGATGATTGGGCAATATAGCGAATCAAGTGAAGTTCAGTATGAAAAATATTGAATGACGGTCCAGGGACCTAAAGGCTAAGCAATTGTTGAGAGACCTAAAGGTCCTGAGTTCGATCCCACGTGAGATCAAAAACATCGACAGCTAAGTAGTCCCAGACTAGGGCGAAACAACTATCTAGGAATTAATTTACTCCAGCAAATCATTTGTGATCATAATGAAACTCAAAATTATGTATATATGTAAATTACTTACATAAAATTAAATTGACTATTGAAAATACTAAAATATAAAGACAATAGATACTCAGGGAATATATGAACAATATAAAATAACGATAGTTTCTTTGGCCAACGCAATTTCCAATCCATGGACAATGATGATCAAAACGTTCTACAAGGATTCAAACAAAAAATGCAAAGAAAGGAATTATAAAATTTATTATTACTATCAAGACTTTTAATTTGAAAGTTCAACATCTATTCAAACAAACTACCAATCAGTTTTGATAGGTATAAGTGAAAACAGGTATCAATACTTCAAGTGAAAACTGTTGTGACTTTAATCACGGCTAATCATCACATGATTTATTCGCCAATCGAAATGAGACTTATACTATCTTAGAAATGCGCCAAACTAATGACGTTCGATAGGTATGATCAGCCTAGCGTCCTTATTGGTCCTTTTTTCCGCCCAGCTCTACCTGTTGAAACCAGAACGACAATAACAGCTCCCACTATGAGAATCATTTATTTCAAACATACATGGTATATATACCAGCCAAACAGACCACATCACACCATAAACTAGGAAATAGCATTTGCGCAAGATCAAGCCAAAAAGTGGCTATGAACATGGGAGACGGTAATTAATAAACTGAGTATAATTTAAAAATGGTAAATCGTACAATAATTATTTATGGGTCAAAATGAAGCTTAGAATAAGAGAAATATAGACATATATAACTTATTTACTGAACAGGTATACAATAAGAATATATATATATATATATATATATATATATATATATATATGACTGTGTTGTGATTGCAGGTAGTTGGCAGGAAACCCTACATGGCATACGTTTCCTATTAAGTGGGTGAAGGTGAAATCGTCAGGTAACCGTGGCTTTCTGTAGGATTCGAAGTGGCGCCATAAAGCTTCACAGTATGAAACATTAGCACTAGTCCCATCAAGATTGCACGTACACTTTACTGACGAGCGTCAAATAAAATGAAACTTGCATTCACTGTCTCCTATAAACTAGGTCCAACAACCTGACATCAGTACATAGTGCACGTAGTGTCGAGTCACTTAGACTCATGATAATACTAAAACTCGATCGATAGAGTTTAATCAGCACTAAAAGACAAGACAGTTTGTTTCATAAACATAAATACCGATACAACCAGGCAACAAAATAGACATTTACCACACACTAGGTGAACACAATATTGGTTACTACTCAACTATCAGTAGATATACATATATTCCATGAGATCTTAAAGTATTAACACTACATTTTGGCACCAGAGATACATGGAGCAAGGTGATGTGTGCTATTTTTAAAGGAAGATATTTCCTAATATCTTCTTCCATCCGTTGTGGAGACTCAGCAAAATCAAAGATGCTGACTATTTGATGGTAACAACTTACTATTGCCAAGACCCACGACAGTCAATAGAATGAATTCATCTCCAAGCCTTAGGTGTACTTTTTTCGCATTATCGCTCTCTATTTGACAATTCTGTCTTGGTAGAACCTCCAGAAACAAGTGTTACATCTAATATAACTCAATTGGGTCGTCACAACAGAAACCCCGATCACTTTTTCAAGGCGGGCTAATACAAGGACGGATGGAAAACTAGAACAACAAATTATTCTCGATTACAGAACCATTCGATGACATCGCGCATCACAACAGTAAGGATCAATAGATGCACTGCCGATACACCGTCTAGAACTCCCAACTTTATTCCGTAGATCCATTACTTCATGTTATTTAAGTTAAACAATAAATAGTGAAAAGTAATAGGGAGAAGTAAGAAGATTAAACTATGCAAAAAAGTTACTGCATACGTTTAAACCGACTAGCGCTTCCCAACAGACAATATCGAAAGAAACTAACCACACATACCGGTAAAATAGTGCAAACTATCTATACAGAGTGTTTAAAGTTTATATATATATATATATATATATATATATATATATATATATATATATATATATAAGGCAGTACACCAAAGTAATTATTTGATCATCTGCACAGCAACTCGATGTAAATAACACAGAGAAAAAACCAATCCAGATACATAAATGAAAAGAAAGCTTTTGATTTCTTTTTCTCACACATTACTACTTGTTGTCCTTTGAGAAAAGATAAATAGAAAATAATTAAGTTCATGTGTGACGAAAACCTAAAACATTTTTCACTAATGTTTCATTTAAAAACACTTAAATCCTATTTACTAATTGAACAACACTTAATAGTCAATAATTATTCAAATGTTCAGATCATAAGACCATACAAATTTACAACTTTAGTAACAAAGAAACAAATTTACGAGTGCTTTGCTAAAAAATTTTAATTATCAATCATATTTGACAGAAATACATAAGCTCTGTTGAATAATCTATAAGTGAACACTTACGGTTGAACCTGAGGTTGTGAAAAATTGTCATTAAGATTGGTAAACTTGAGTGGTGCTTGTCAGGGATAACCAATATCCCCATATTTATCTGATTTTATAATAAGTGTTCTTTTAGGAACAACACATTTCTCATCTAGCTTCCAAAGATAATTTTTTTGTTATACAAAAACAGGTGAGACTATAATTTATGGGCGATCTTTGAGCAACGGTAAAATGACCTAGGAATGTCCACCTACTTACTAGGGTTATATATTAGTGTGAGGAACTAGGATTAAGATTTACAGTTGAACGTTAAAGTTAGGGTTTAGATTTAATCTTTTCATCACGAACTGACATCAGCTATAAAGCAAAAATGGAATTTAGTCATATGAGTGAATGAACTTCGCGCCCAAATCCGAGATCTACTGTCTTAAATCTGATTGGTTCGTCCACTAAATATAATTTTGCCCAAAAATATTCTGTAATTAGGCAGTATCAATACCAAGTTTTTACATTGAACTTCCTCAAAGTTTAACAGTTGTATGTATAACTTATAATCAAGTGTTATAACATTTTCGTGATCTAGTATATTAGACACTAAATTTTAAGTAACTGTTTTAAATATACAAAATCATTTGGAGTGGACTGGAAGAAAACAATGGGTGGTCGAAACAAGTGACATCAGTCCATAAAGTTACTAAGTGTTGGTCTGAAAGAATTTGGTTTCATGCAGATTACCTACCTATATGGCGTGAGTGATATTATCGTGACCAATTATTGGAGACTTTGGGTGACATGGCTCAGAATCAGTTGCAGTGACACAGATGCGTTAACTTTTTGTTTTATTTTAATCCCTGAGTCTTAAACTTAACAATTTTATGCTTTACATCTATAATTTTTTCTTGAGGCACACTATCAATGCCTAATATCTTTATGGCTATCACTGCTACTGCTACCTTGACTTCAATTTCGTTAATTTCACTTCATCATGCAGAGCTGGTGTGGAAACTTAGGACGATGCACTTTTACGATAGATCTTATATTGATTAACGCTCTTTGAAAGTTTCACGCTCAACTCTAATATCCAAAGCACACATGTAACTCGGCAGGTTTTGGATCCAAAATCCAAGATAAGTGGGGTAGTTTTATAAAATTTTGCACTAAACAAGATATGCCTTATTAATTAATTCAGTTATTTATTTGAACACATAAATATTTGTACAAGGAGGCACCGAATACATATGCGCCACACAAGTCACTTAATTTTTATATGGGCTGTGATCCTGTTCGGGTGCCCAGGCCGAAGCAGGTGGCTTTCTTAGGAGGCCACAGCCGGAGCCTTCGACCTAAAGGTCTAGTCCACAAGGCAGTGGAGCAACGTAAGGAGATGCAGTCCCATGGTAGCCGGTGACCAATAATTGGTTCGCACGCCATTTGTTCCCTCAGGATCCTGGAGCCCATGAGCACCATTGGTTTGGAATGAGGATTTTTCAACTACCCCAGGGGGACTCTTCGTGTACACCAACCCAGTTAAAGCGCCGGACATTCGCTTTTTGTTCTCTCAATTTCGTAAACAACACCCCCGTCGAGAGATGATAGTGAGTAGCACATTCTTGACAATGGTTGTATACGTGTGGTCATGTGAGAACATTTCGAAAGGAAAACCTGACATTCCCCACCCTCAACCATACCAGAACATTAGGGGGCTATGACTTTAAACATAGTACACGAAATTGGCGACGAATGAAGTGTATGACGGCATGTGCTTTATATGCATCACTCTATGATATAATATTATATCACTAAGTTATTGACTATTAAACTAAGGAGGAGAACTGTGAAAGAAGCTGGTGGTTAGATATACTATATGAAATGAATGAAAATCACTAGTATGATTACTAACAAAACGCCAATATATTTGTTTTTAACATTATTCTATTTGGTACTTTTATAGAGTTGACCACCACGTCAAGATATTATGTTGAATCAATGTGTTTGTTAAACTCTCTGAAAATCAAGAGTTCAACTCCATGTTTACAGGAATATAATAAACTATATATCTAAAACACTCCTCTTTTAATAATTCGTAGCAATCATTGTCACCTTGCACGTGATATGAATTAGCAAACCTGGTTAAATGTCAATTTTAGAACAGTATTCATCTTTTAGCTACAATAAGAACTAAAATGTTCTTACCAGATAAAGATCACTACATTTTTTAAAATAACTCTCCAAATATCTTCATGGTAGAGTAGTAACAACAGATGTAGGCATTAATTAACACCGTTCGGTTACAGTCGGATTGATCGATCCATGTAGTTTTGTAGTTTACATAGTCATAATATATTTAAAAGGTGAGCTAAAAGTTCTAACGGAATGATTTGCAATTTAATGAACTAGGCAGAATTACAAAGGTCATCATTTTCTTTGAGACAAACTAAAAAACTTTAGATTGATTGGAAAGTAACCTTCAGATTACAAATTTAGATTTGATCGATCATTTGCAAACTATACATTATGGATCGAAAAATTCTTTGGATGACACACATGGCATTGGTGAGTTTCTTCAGTGGTACACACATTACAGACTAATAATGACAATTTACGACCAAAACAATCTGTTAACAAGATAAATATAAAAATCTGTAAAACAGAATAGAAATAAAAATCTTTAAACATATTTCTTGGTGTGGAAATTCGACTTTTCCGATGGAATAACGTTGTAATAATCATACGCTAGATTGTAACCATATAGAAAACTGCATTTGTGTAAAGTAGTAACATAAAGTGAGTAATCTATGAAAACTAAGCAAAATTAGTGAGAAGGAAATCAGGCGTACTGGCTACGTAGACTTGGCATAAGACTGAGAATTATACCTATCATGTTGAATCTGAAGATAGGATTGTGGATTATTCTCTAGTAGTTGACAAATAAACTGTCAAATCAATAAATTACAATTACCCTCAATATTAAAACAGTGTGCAGTACTTCGAACAGAATTTCTAATCCGTAAATTATCTTAACACTTTTCGACACCCAAGAATACAAAAACGAGAAACGTTCTTCAAAGTGACTTACCAACACAATTATCACACGAAGAGCAATGTGATGCTCTTGGTGGACGGAAAATTCGACAACTATGACAATAACTAATTTTGACTAGATGATCTCCAATTAGGATTTGACGTGTTCTGGCACCGGGTGGATAAGTTCGAACTGCATTTACATCATGCTCACTTTTGTTATTCGAGTCATTTACAGGTACATCTCCAGTACCTAGTTAAAAAAAGAAATTATAGCATTCAAAATTATATTCTACACGAGGTTTATAATGACGACCGATATCAGGGTTAGGGATCAGCGACAACGAGTTTCATAAATCACATAAATATGTAGATCCCACGACTATTTGACTCATATTGCGAGGGATAACTTTGTCAAACAACCTCGCTATCTCAATAACTAGATCACTTTTATTTTAGACTGAATAATGTCATATGTTCACGACATTAAATTATGAATAGCAATTATTATTTGACGATGTTAAAATATGGGAAGCCATCATATTTTAGAAATTTTCATGTCGTCATAAAGAAACCGCAAATAAGTCCATCTAGCTTAGGAGTGTAAGCAAATCAAATGTGAATATTATTGGAATAGTAAAATGACATGGTGATACGCTAAGCAAAGAAAACGTAGACCAAAAGATAAGTGGGGAATGATAAGGGAAACACACTAATGGTCGAGATTTGGATTAGTTTTCTGAAGAAACAGAAATACGTTAATGGGTAAAAACCCGGCTTCATTTTTGGGACAGATACGTTTATGAACATGTTGTGCGTATATTTTTAACTCAGTTAACCAATAAAAACCTCCTACTCGTTGTTGATCTCAATCAAGTGGCAGATTGAGCTTCCATACATGAAGTTTGTATATTATTAACAAACTAGAAGTGCAAATTTATTTATTTATTTATTTTAACACATACGTATTGGTACAAGGAGGCAACAAATACATATGCGCCACACGAATCTCAATTGATTTGTGTGAGGGCTGTGATACTGCCCGGGTGCCCAAACCGAAGCAGGTGGTGGTTTTCTTAGGGGGCCACACCCCGAGCCTTCGACCTGAACGTCTGATCCACAAGGCAGTGGAGCATCGTGAGGAGATGCAGTCTCATGGTAGCCGGTGACCAACGATTGGTCCATACGCCATTTGTTCCTTCAGGATACTGGAGCCCATGTGCACCATTGGTTTGGGGTCCGGTTAAAGCGCCAGACATTCGCTTTTCGTCCTCTCATTTTCGTAAACAACACCCCCGCCACGTGAAGGCAGTGAGTAGGACTTCCCTGGCAGGGGCTATGTACACGTGGCCATGTGAGAGCATTTCGAGAGGGAGAGCGGACTCTCCACACTCTCGGCCGTACCAGGGCATTTGGGGGCAGTATGACTGAAGAATAAGGTTAACTGTAGTAAACAACGCACAACAGGGAACGTGTACACACTAAATCGAAAATGTGAAAATGGACGTTCTAATTTAAAGCGGATTATTGATCAAATGTAATCATTTAGAGTTTCAGAAACTTTTATCTCCAGCGATATAGTATATATAAATTTGAAAAAAAAGGAATGAGAAGTGCATTATTATATGAGTGTTGGCAGATGCCACAAGAAAGCAAACTATAACTTCAGTTGAGTGTGATTGATGCAATCTTTGCGCTTTCTCAAGTCAAACTATTTTTTTCCAAATTTAAGGCCTTAATAGTGTTAAGTATCTTACAGAAACGATACTTGCGACAAAATTAAGAAAGAGTGAAACTAAGTTTGAGTTAAGATTAATAAGTTTATATATATAAAATTAGAGCAACATAGATTAGACTAGTAAGCTTACTAATTGACAGTTCAGTCCATTCTATTTCAGGACGTGTGGCTCGTGGTATAATTCCTGGATCTGTGAATGCTGTACGAAGAAATGCAGTAATAACGTATAAGAACTGAATCGCTGCTAAAACAGGGACAACAGGAGTTAAGATGGGGGTTAGAAAACGGCAATCAAAAGCAAAGAAAAGAACCGTAACTGAGATAATTAAAAGGATGGTAATAGTGAATATACACATATCCCGGGAAAACACCCCTCTGCCATGACAACAAAATCTGTTACGTCCAGGATGTAGACGGTAATAAGGAATACGAAGACTTTGATTATCCTGCATTTTCTAAATCACTGAGCTCGGTAGGCATATTTTTTTGCAATGGAGCTAATACAAAGATGTCCTGTATGTTTTGTAGAAGTGTTCTGCTAAAAAGAAGTAATGAAGTAATAGAAAAATTAATAAAGACAAAGTAGCAAATCTTAAAATTAATATAAAATAACCCAGTATGGAAACCTATAAGATACAAAAATTTCCGCTACTTTCAGGTTACTATTAATAGTAAGCAGTCACCAATTAAACAGTTGGTGAGAAAAAATCGGTTATCCTTCATATTTAATGACAAATATTCCACTAATTTCGAATTATGGAAAGCAAAATATCAATCAGAACATAATAGCGCTATGATGAGTAAAAAAAGAATCGTAAGTAGAGACTAGATGAGAATATTTTATACAGATCCAGTATTCCCGAAATGTCTTACTTTATGTTAAGTCGAAATCTCATACAATTGTATGATGTGTTAACTGTGATAAATAAGAAAAAATAATTTGTGTATAAGCGTGAGAACTGTTTCTAAGGAATTATTTTTATCTATAAATACGCCAGTTAATTATAGCGTAACAGACTACGTAAAAATTACATCAAGCAAACATATTAATACTCTAAAGAAATGATTAACGAAAAAGCCGCACAGAGAATAAATGAATGAACGAAATAGCATTGTAAGAAATACAGTTCAGTTAAAAGTACAGACAAGGTTACTTCACTTTTGTTAAAAATGTAGTGGCTTCTATTTATTTCTAATAGGGTCTCAAGCCACCAACTGGCACGATCATAGAGACCCAAACTAGAAATTCATCATTGGTCGAAGAATCCCGGTTCCCTACATCTTTCATAATATAAAGACATGTCCTAAACTGATAATTTTGCTTGTTCTATTCAATTCAAATATAGTAATTGATGAGGATCTACTTGGTTGTTAGTCAGTAGATGAAACTGTCGTATTTCTAATTTAAGAGCTTTAAAGTCGGCCTAAAATGTACGTCTTTTGTGGTAGACCGAAACTGGAACCTAAACATGAACTGATATATTTTAAAAGCTTTATCAGTCAATTGCTCTAAATGAAGGTCAATTTTTTTCGCAATTTCATGATCAAAGTTGAGATTATCTTGATAATGTGTGCGCAACTGCCTCAGTCACACTTTGAAACAAACGCATTAGCAAGTTGGTGAGTTTTATCTATTAACTTCGAACGTCTGCTGGGCATGGCAGTCTAGTATGATGTATTACTACGGTTATATTACTTCAGAAACAGCATATAAAATTAGCTTACACATGAATGTTGTCATGCAATTATAGCCTACGATGGAATTATATCTGAAAGAAGGATAAAAGCATAGTTAACGTAGCAACTATGAAGTGATGTATAACTTGAGAGTCATTGTTAGTTTTAATTTGAAGTGTTTTCAGAATGTGATACAGCAGGCAGTGATGTTAACTTTGACTCTAAAGAAAAACAAACGAAACTGATGCATGACTAGACAAGCTTCAACCTACATAAACTAAAATGTCAATTCTAATGTCACCAAAGTATTCAAAACAAAATAAGCTAACTGTATTTAAGTGTCGATCGCATCAAATCATGAAATATACTAACCTAATGTCACTATATTGTGGTTTTCCCCAAAAATATGAAAAATTTGGTAAGTTTCTCCAAAGTTTGGAAGAACCCCAAACTGTTATAAGATTATGTAGAAACATAGAAGTGCAAACATAAAACTCACCCAAAACTTTGGGAATTCTTCCCAGACCAGAGAAAATTTAGGGGGTTTCGTGTTATTTACCTAAAGTCTTCTATAGCGGTTTCCCAAAATTTGCTAAACCGGACAAAAGTTCCCCAAAAATAGGGAAATTGGGAATTAGGCTAATCTATTCGTAACACTAAGATGCCAAAATAGCAGTTACATCAGTTTACGGAAGTACAGTGTGAATAAGCAAGTCGGATGCTGAACAATAAATCACTTACGCAGTGAGAATCAACTGTGAAATCAACTCGGATGTCAGCTATGTACAGTAAACCTGCGACATGAGAGTGACCTACAGATTGAAAAAGCTACCTGTAATCCAAGGTTGTTCAACATCCAATAAAACTCAGATTTCTGATTTGCATTTATGTATTAATGACATTAAACTGGCGAACTGTGTTGGTTGTTTCCAAAAGGCTCCAGATAGTGTCTATCTTTTTCTTGAATGAGTTAGTTAAATGTGCAGCACTCATTGCCTTGTTTAGCAACTTCCTGCAGCAGATAGTTCTGTACTAAAAACCTGTATATTACTGATTAATCTGCGAAATATAAAGTGGATAAGGTCTAATTTTAGAGCAACTTCATGAGTTGCAGATCTAAGGGTTTTAAACTCATGAGGCTCCCTTAACTCTATACTTTTTTAAAATATCTATGTCGCTTTTATAAAGACGCTTTAAACCTGGACGCCGTTTTCATGGTCGGATCACACACAGGTTGTTCAAACCTTGATTATCCTCTCACAAAGAGGTGTTTGCCGTCGTCTGAGGGATTGTTGAATTCATGGCAATTAATGACAAACCACTGAAATGAATCAAGTTAAAGTTGACCAGGCAGGATATGGATGCTATAAATCCACTTTAATTAAAGTCTGACAGAGGTGTTGTTACTGTCCACCATACAAGGAGCTTCGGGGTTCGGTGACTCAATCTGCCGAACGTCCGTACAGATTTTTGCGTTAACTCAGTCGTGTTCCACTATAAAACAACTTCATTCTAAATGAACATCAAATCGGGCTCCACAAATCAAAGGAGGATAACAGTCAAGTATTTGTTTATTATAAAGTAACAAACATTCTTAACAGTGCGAAAAAGTGTACAATAGATGTGCAATAAGAATTGTAATGACAAATGAAGTTCATGGCAGTAAACGGTAATGTATTTCAACTGGTACGGACATTTAAGTGGATGCAACCATTTATTTTACTACAATATTACACATTATCTTGTTAAAATATAAGAACTATACACTGAATACTTCGTTTGCAAATTTCTATCATTTGTCCCTCACATTCGGTGTGATTCTTCAAATTCACCATTCCCTTCTATTTTCTCTTATCTTCTCTCCAACTTCATCTTCTTAGCCTTGTGTTGCCAGGTTTTCCACTTTCGACTGGTGTCACACACTACTTATGTCTGTTGATACAAGCAGCCTACATCACATTACGGGGCCGGGCTTTAAGTGGCATCAAATAAAGTTAGAAAAGTCATTTGATTGCATCAGACACAGGGAAATTCACGGTGGGATTGACGTATGTTAAGTTCGTACTAATTCATTTATCACACTGGATTACGGATACTGGAACCAACAGTTGTAACGCTGTTTGATCGATGACTGCTTCGTTGCTGTATGAAGATTTTAAACTTTAATTTCAGGAGCATGGAGTGAAAACGAATGTCGAGAGATGTAAATAGATCAGTAATCCTAAGAGCATGAATAAAAAACAAAAATACAAGTCGGCATCAGTACGAAAATGAGCACAATAGCGTTATGATAATAAAAATAAGAACGGTAATAGTATATGATAATAACAATAGTGAAATGAGATGCGAGACATGCGTCAGGCTGAACTATACGTTAAAAGACATTTTTTCACATTACCAGACATGATTAGTTTGCAACATTTCAGCTATATATGATTTTCGTCAGGCTTTTCATTTAATTCATTCAACAAAGTCACGCGATCAGCATCAGTTTGTTTAGATTTCCGTATTATTAGTATCATGTTTGTATGTGGATGTATGTTTGGTCACATGTTATAGTCCACCTACATATTATCTGCCTAAGTTACTCAATGACTGAATTGTTTTCTCAGCGTATATGAGCTTCTCAAATACTAATAATTCTTTCATTCTTTTTCATCGATATTTCCATTTTCATCCACACTTGTTTAGTGTACTTATGGCTTTGTGATCTTTCACGAGAAGGACAGGAACTCCAGATTCCTTCTAATAAATATAATTTCCTATCGTCTTTCTATCTCAAAACATTTCATACTAATAGACACCGGGTGAAGCTGGAATTCAGATCAGCTGAACAGATCACACGATGCAAGGATTAAGCACAAAGTTGAGTTAGAACTGACACGTAAACTGTCAAGAAAAAAGTAAATATGTGGAAAGGTCAGGAAAACCAACTCGAAAAATTCTGTGTATGGTGCCTGTCCATTTACATAAAGCTTAATCAGGAAAACAGGGTAAGGAAGCTCAAGAGTTTCAAATCGAAAGCATAAGCTACCCATATACGGAGGCTGCGAGTCGGTCGAACAAAATGGATTAATTGAGCTTACTTAGTAACGTTGAAAATATTCATCTGATAGGAATATCTGAAACGTAGGCATCTCAAATTACAGGTTAAGAACTGGTAATAACTAGTATGTATTTATTTCTCGGTGATACGAGAGCTGAAATGGAGGTAGTCCATAAAGTGTACACTCAAGGGTTTGTTGATGAATCTCTTTGTTGCTTAGTGAAATTGTCGAACACTTAGAGTTGTCTAGTCAGAGCCATTTACAGAAAGCCCATTTACGGCCTTGAATACGACAACTGCTTATTGGAGAGATTATCTAGTTCTGCTCCTCTTGGGCATACTCATATCCTGATTCTAAGAGACTTTAACCTTCATAAAGTCAACTTTGCTGAACACGTGTAAATTAGATTTGACGACTCTGTTGAAGCTCGGATCTTCAACCTCTTTGAAGATCTGAGTTTATTAGAATATACGAAGTTAGCGACTCATTGGAGAATTAGCCACACACCCGAACACTTGAACAGCATCTCTATAAACGAAGAATTTCTAATTGACAAGTACTCAATCCTGGCTCTTCTGGTTAAAAAAAGTTTATGCCGTCATAGCCTTCAAGTTTGTTAGATAAACTGAGACAATACAAACTACTAACAACATGTGTTAGAAATACAAACAGTTAGGTCTGTAAGCTTTACAGGTCAAACTACAACAGGTGAACTAGGAAGCCCATCCTCAACTCAATATGGACGCTCACCAGAATTTCTTACTACATACGATCTTATTTGCCATAAAAGTCTGTCTCTCAAATGGTCCTCAAAAATTACAAGGCTCTCACGTTCAGCGATAATCACACCCTTCTACAACGAAGACGCAAAAGACATCCGTGGGCGGAATACAAGAGAACCAGTGACGATAGCACATAAAGGCAGTTCAAACAAGCTAGGAACTAATGAATGATGGAACTAAGAGATGTGCTTCAGTATCAGATAAAGTTATTCGATGGATTTGTCCCTAATATAAAAAGCTTATTACGTAATGCAGTCTCTCTTCGACAAACCAAAAACGGAGTTTCCCACTAGGTAGATCGAATTGCCTAATCAACAGTGGTGGTGTAGCCATAGAACTTCTAGCAAAATGTCAACCATCCCATGAAAACCACATCGTCTAAAGCTTCACCTGTGGCATTGTAAGCAGCAGCACCAAAACGAAGACATTTATTGTAAACTGGATATGGTTCATTCTGCTATATTGAAAGGAGTAACTTCAATCTTGGTAAAACCACTTAGTGGGATGTACTTACATTTGTAAGACGAGTCACGGCAGCAGGAAATTAGAGGCTGTCTCACATTGCACTGATTTTCATTAGGGGCCGACTCAGCGAAACTTCGAACAACCGGCTGATAGCATTTCTCTCGGTACCTTTAAAATTATGAAGTTCCAGTTATACTGCGGTCTACGTAACGAATTGCAATACTCAAACTTCTTTTCATCTCAGCAGCATGGTTGCAAGAAGGGTCACTCTTTCATATCACTTTTGTATAACCAACCTGCTAACTGTGGTGGATAGATCAACAACTATTTTTGATTAGAGGAGGAAGATTGATGCAATGTACCCTGACTTCCCATAGCCATTTGGTGCGGTCAATCATAGATGTCTCGTCAATAAGCCCGAAAAGTTAGGTAACCATTGACCATTGATTGATTGGGTTGTCTCATATCTAAACAACCGACCTTCACGAGTTAGGGTAGATTTCACTTGTTCTAAGGTTATGAAATGTCATAATGGTGTCCATCCGGGTTCAGTATTAGGATGTCTTCTCTTTTTATTTCTTGTTATAAAAGCAAATAAATCTCCAAAACTAAATAATTTTGTTAGTCTCCGACATGATGCTGACTTAACTAGTTTTTCTAAACACACAATAGCATTCGGACCATATTAAACGCCTTTCAATATATCAACAACTTTCAAACATATCTTCAAATCTCCTCACTTCTTAGTTCCCATTTGACCGGGTTGGTTTCCTTCGTTCATAAAGGCGTTAGGTGTGAAGTGGTTATCAAACTCCAAATACCTATGGCACGCTTAATATAAGTGACCTTTGTCAGTTATATCCATAACTAACTAATCAAGTTGTTGCTTAAGCTCGCACCAGGTTAATATGTTCTCATATGTTTGTAACCTGTCCCTGTTACATGTGACATACCAATTGAAAGACATTATCTGATTATAATAGTGCGACTCGTAGTTTTTATTCACCTCAATAAGACATTTAATACTGGTCAGTATGTTTCTGCGTTCCACCTAATGACAGTAATTCCTTTAATTATTGTACTAATCCAATTGTTTTTACGTTTAGAAACAGACAAATTTTAAATCGAGTTGTCCTTGTTCCGACCATAGCTTTCACATAGACTCTGGAATTGCCAGTATCGCGTTTACAGTTCTAGTAGTATATCTGTAAGAGAAATTAAATCCTACAACGTTCCACAGTAAGTGTTGTATGGTTTTGAAGATGCCACAGTTATTCGGAGTTTGACAACGCTTTAACCAATAACACCTAATACTTTTCCCTGACAATAGGAATCTTTTGGGAGGGATTTACAACCGAAATGACAAGCTGGCTCTTCCACAGCAGAACGGATTGTAGACACACATTTCCCCATTTGCAAGATGATCTCAGCGATTTTTCGTAAGTCTTTAAACAGAAAACTTGACAGTATCTCACAAAAAATTACCAGTATTTTTCCTTTTTATGTTTAGATGTACTCAGTTTTATAATTGGAGGCATCAACAATTCATTGCTCCTTAATAAAGCAGCCCGTCAAGCAAAAGCTTGTTCTATTTCGTCCAAAATTCATTGCATTAATTAAATTGGTTATTGAATAGAGGAGCGTGCTTTAAGATTCCCTTGAAGTCGCGGTTGGACCTTGAGCACATTCGGTTAGTTGACCGGTCACTTGTTTGGTTTGTAGCATTTTTGATAGAAATCACATGTACATTACATGAATAATTTGTCTGCCATCGTATATCGTTTTATTTCGGGATAGTTCCTGTCTTGTTGCTATCTTTGAGAGAAGTTGAGGTAAATTTTTGTGACCAAATGTGGCGAACGTTTGGAGAATTTGTGTATTGCTGCAACCTGTTACTCTAACCTCGGGTAGATATCTTGCTTTTTAATTCAACTGTCATCGTGGTGGGAAATTCCAGCACCATTTAGTGAAGGGGATTATAACGCCCATAAGTACACTTTGCTAAGACACCCGTTATGTTAACCTTCATATGCCTGTTAAGACATATTTTTCAGTAGCATTATCAAACATCACTTCGTGTTTGTAGAATATGCTCTCCACTGGAACTAATCCTGAGGCGAGTTGTGAAAATTTCCTTCTAGGAACATAAACAGTGGATCTATACATTTTGAGATATTTGTAATCCAAAAGCGATCTCGTAATGACCACTTGACTCATGAACATAGTTGTTCTCTAAAATTCCCGGGTTTATTATCTATAGCCTTGTTTATAGCACTCGCATGCTCGATATGCGATAGCTGTTTGAACTGTAGATATATTGTCTGCCCATTAAGAGCAGTCAAACCTAATTATTTGGATCGTTCTGAGGAATTCTGTAGAACTCCTTAGAAGGTGACTTATTGTTGTATTAGAGATTCGGCAACATCTCACTGATTTTATGAAGTATTTCCTACTCCAACTTATTTTATACACCTAGTCTCCTACCTAGATACGTTAATTCTCCATTTTTACTGGTCATGACAGCTCGTTTAGCAAAAAATTTACTGTCAGACATTTAGATTCCGCATATATAAATTCAAGACTACAAACTTGTTTCGTGGTTCATCTTTGAATATTTTCCCAAGTGAAGGGAGGAAAACTATCGAAGATGAAGGCATTTTTATCACCAACTCTTTTAGTTGTTGTTCGTTCATACCATACGTATCCCGCATCATATTGCATATAGACGAAGCTACACTTGTCATTGTTATCTGCTCAGATTTAAGGTTGATCCCAACCCTCTTATGGGTTTGTCATTCAGGATTGATTACTCGTCCTGGCCTTACATTGTCCGCAAATGTATTTTCAAAAGACTTGTCGTTATTGTTTGTTTGCGTAGTTCAGAAAGTGGATGTCCTTAAATTTTTGCTTTCGCGGGTGATGACTCATTATCTTGTATAGTTTCACTCGAACTCACTTATATGCTTAATGAGTTAATCTGTCATATTTGTTCTTATTTGAAATTTTTATTCCGATCGTTGTTGATTAGCTAGCTTATTATTCAATTTGAACTGGGCAAAAAGTTTGACTGACTGCCATACTAAAGCTAACTTTTGGAGAATTGTACTACACAAATCATGAGTAGCAGTGATGAAATATCTTGGATATCATGGTTCTGCGGCCTACGTGGTAATGAGTTCTTTTGTGAAGTAGAGGAAGACTACATCCAAGATCGATTCAACCTTACCGGTTTGTCAGAGCAAGTTCCTGAATACCGCGATGCTCTCGATATGATACTTGATTTGGAAACTGGTAAGACGTTTATAAATCTTTTTGTTTTGTAGGATTACTGTCTGTTGCATCTTGTTTTTTCGTAAATCTTTCGGATGCTAAAATTTGGTACTATGTACCTTCATGTTGCATGGCATTAAATCTGGTTGTTTTTCCGTGTTAATTGTGGACTTGATCTACACTGATATAAAAATATTTCAGTTGCTTCGCCATTTCCTCATTGCTAACGTTTGCAACTATCTTAATCTGGAGAAGTAGCATTATGTGGTGTCTTGGACTTGAGGGTCCTTACTTTCGGTTCGCTATTCCTCAACTAAAATGCTAGGCGTAATACGGACTGAAATGTTTGATTTAGTTGCATTCGACCGCTACAAAATGCGAGCCTACTTGGTGTACCAGAGTAACAGTTTCGGTTTAGCGATAAGTTAAATGGAGTTTATGTTTTTTTAACAACCAAAGCCGATCTGGATAATCTTTAATCTTTGTAAAATGGAGTGTAACTCTGTCCAAATAGTAGTTATTGATAACCACCTTTTGGAGTGGTTCATCACTCCTTGCTGCATTTCTGTCTCAACTTTATCACAGCTTTTTTAATTTCTCAAAAGTTTGGAAAGTCGTTAACGCACTTATTTGTTGGGATCACCTTGCTAACAATTGGTGTGTAGATGTAGACGGGCGCTTCACTTATCAATCTAGCCTCCTACTGCAAAAGTTTATTGACAATGAGTTTATCCCCTCAAGTTTGTCTCTATCATAATCATTAAGAAAACCATTTAGACCCCGGTGTTAGTTACGCACCTCCTACAATTTTGCTAGTCACTCTTTGATTCTCTTTCAAGTTATTTCCTGTTTATAGTGTCTGCATAAAACTGATGTTTCTAAAATCAAACAGTTATCATTAACGCAAAGCCTGATACAGATGTACGTTGGTTTAAGTTGTACTACAGTGCTATGAGATGAAACTAACCAAATGAGTAGCAGAAAAAAAACTAAACGTTGGAAATTCATATGGTTTGAAAAAACAGGCAAATTGTTATAAAAGAACACTGGAACTCAAAAATCTAGAGATAAAGAGTGAGTGGGTCTGCGCTATTACGAATGATTGTGAATCATTACGTCCAAATTCTTGAGTAGTCTTTTTCCTAGAAATTCTTCTAAGAGGAGGCATTTACAGAGAAATGAAACCATTCATGTATTAGCATTTCAGTAAAAGCTAACAATTAACACAGTGTGAAACCTAGTTCTTAAGTATACTGAACCCATTGCTCATAAGAAATAGCGATGTTTTTCTCACTATTTCATGTCCCACTGTTCATTTTTTTGAGACACTCGCCTCACTACTAAGTAAATAGGTGAGTTGAGCAAGGGCAGTTTACAGTTTTTGATATACTGTATCATAACTGGTATCAAATAAACTGTTAAGAACAGTTTTTACAAGCGTACATATTAATCTCCGTATTTTTTAGAGAGTAAACCACTGAGTCAAATATTTCCCCTGACTTATCGAGGATTAAACTTATTTGCTAGGTTTGTGTTAGATACGTTTTTTCTGGTAGGTCAGTCAGTGAATATGAGGTTTTTTAATACTTTTAGACCCTTCTGATAATCCAGAAAATACCGATCTCATTGAACAAGCGGCTGAAATGCTTTATGGGCTAATACATTCTAGATACATTCTGACAAATCGTGGTATTTGTTTTATGGTGGCAAAATGGCAGCAAGGGGATTTCGGTTATTGTCCTAGAGTAAGCAAAATTTTCCCGCTTACATATGTTGAACTTGTAAATATTCTTTCACTTTGACATTTAAATGAAATAAAAAGTCTTGTCTCATTTTTTCGCAACTATGTCTAGAGTTTGTATTCTTTCATGTCATTTCGCATTACCTACGTAACACAGAAATGTATTCATAATAGTTCACGTGATATAATATTTAAGGATATTAAAATAAACAAGGATATGAATTATAAGATCTTGATTTATCCTTTATTTATTTATTTGGACACTTAAATATTTGTACAAGGAGGCACCGAATACATATGCGCCACACAAGTCACTTAATTTTTATATGGGCTGTGATCCTGTTCGGGTGCCCAGGCCGAAGCAGGTGGCTTTCTTAGGAGGCCACAGCCGGAGCCTTCGACCTAAAGGTCTAGTCCACAAGGCAGTGGAGCAACGTAAGGAGATGCAGTCCCATGGTAGCCGGTGACCAATAATTGGTTCGCACGCCATTTGTTCCCTCAGGATCCTGGAGCCCATGAGCACCATTGGTTTGGAATGAGGATTTTTCAACTACCCCAGGGGGACTCTTCGTGTACACCAACCCAGTTAAAGCGCCGGACATTCGCTTTTTGTTCTCTCAATTTCGTAAACAACACCCCCGTCGAGAGATGATAGTGAGTAGCACATTCTTGACAATGGTTGTATACGTGTGGTCATGTGAGAACATTTTAAGAGCAAGAGCTGACTCCATCCCCTTGGCTGCATTAAAGCATTTGCGGGCAAAAACAGCCGAGTCTGCCTGCAATTCCTCGATAAATAGAGAGTTTAGTGATACACGTAATCCATTAACTCAGAATTTCACCCTAACCTGGCGATTAGGACATACTAAAGAGCTGAAGGCAGTAACTGAACCTGGTGTCAGATAATCCAGTTGAAGTGCAGCTCTACGTATTAAGTTCTTTAAAGGAAATTCGCTCATGACATTTCACACAATGAGATTCCAAATAGCCTGTGTCATTCGAATGTGTAAGTCCACTGCCAACATCAGCCGTTAGTCATCTTACATACGACTAAAAGAGATTTATTGTAGTTCAGATCTATAAATCAGCGAGTGGTTATTTCATCCTTATGTGCGAGATCCCAATTGTTTACCAGTTTCCAAGTAGATTGGAAAAGTTTGCTGTAATGTATCTAATTGCAAAGGTATTAAAATTCTTTTTTCTTACGCTTTTACTATCAAAGGTTTACTGTGAAAGTCAACCATGTTTACCAGTCGGTTTATCAGACGTTCCTGGTGAAGCTATGGTTAAGATATATTGTCCTAGATGTCAAGATACCTATACACCGAAATCTACTCGTCATCATCATACAGATGGGGCGTATTTCGGTACTGGATTTCCGCATATGTTGTTCTTAGTTCATCCAGAGTACAGACCAAAACGAGCTAGTAAACAGTTTACTGCAAGGTAGGTTTTATTATAGGAAATATTTATACGTGTTTTGATATGCTATACAAATTGTGTATTACTTAGGAAAAAATATGATAATTCAGGTTGGTAATCTAACGCCTGTTTTCAGTAACTAAGTTACAAGTTTGAGCCCCACTCAACCTAATTCGCTTTGAGTGACCGGGTATTATCTCTAGGCCTCGCGCTTAGAGTGTCACTTGAAGTCAAGTACATGGATCTGTGCCTGGTAGGTGAGTTACCAGCTTTTTGTTGACTGACGCTTTCTGAAACTCCACCTGTGTATTAAAACTAACTGTTTTTAGAAACTTTCCACTGTTTCGGGTTACAAATACTCGTAAATATATGATAGAGTTTGTCGTTGATTTCACTGAACTTTCGTCTTTAGTATTCTGAAACATTCATTGAGTCATACTAAACTGTCTGTGCCTCTCGTACATATGGTCTTTAAAAGATCATCTGATGTTGATTTAATCATATCCTATATATTTCTGGTTAAATGAATAAAAGAGAATTCGGTCTTACTTTGTTCATCTCTGAATATTTAATTTATTATTTAATGTTAACTTTCAAGTTATATAATTCTCGAAGTCAGTTGTTACATAATTTCAAAGAAAAAGCCGTGAAATCGACCTAAGTTTTCTTTTACTTGTTGCATGTTTATACACCCAGTGTCTGAATAATACTCAATGAGTAGCTGAATATGTTAAAATTGTCAAGTTTTCAAGGAATTTCCTTCCGTGATATTAACACGTATTAATTAAATAGTACTTTAGAATCAGTAATAATGCAACGGTATGCAAACAAGACAAAACGATACGAACTGGAAAGGTTTAAATTCGAAGTCAGCAGCACAGTATTGTGTTGCGTAGCTATCACAAAGGTAAACAAAACAGTCACTCAGTCAAACACGACGCAGAACCTGGGATATGTGTGCATCGGTTCAATTTTCTATACCTCGTTAGCACAGCGAGATGAAGGTTTCAGAGCGAATCTCAGAGTAGTAGAGGTATCAACAGTAATAATCACAGTAGAACAGATTAGGCATGACATATACAATTTTAGAGGAAAAATATAAATTAATGACTTGATGAAAAAGATTTATAAGGAATTTAGGAACTTAGAATTTAAGGAAAAACAGTGAATGCACCTGTTCAATTGTGAACGATTTTGATTCGTGTCGTTCCAAGTCTCTAACCACTGGCAACAATAATCACACGGACCCAGACCAGGTAGTCTGCACATATCTACATGGATCAACCCAACTATTGAAACGAATAGTAACAAGACTTATAAAGTGAATTCAAATAACTATTCAATAAACAACAATTGGTTTGCCTATGCTGTTTTCACATGAAATAATGGCTTAGTGTTAAATAAACGCTATCTTAACTTTGTTATCCTCAGCCTGAAATCCTTTATTCATTTAGTAATGTTCATCCAAATAACTATTAAAATGTTTGTGTTCAAAGTGACTCACTATCCGTCTCATAAAAATAAGCTTCTTAGTTAATACAAAAGTTATTTAAATATATATTTTTCTGAAGATTTTCATTTCACTTAGTTATGATACGATACCCAGAGTTTAGATCTTACAACCAGGTCTTGATTGGTTAATGAGCAACCTGCAAGCTAATCTCCTCCAATCGCCTTTGATATTTGATTGCATTTATTTTGTGTTCATATTCTGGATATAACAACGATATTTTATTATACGCGAAACTACTCATCTGGCTAGTGGTTTTGTCTTTAATTTCTAACCATCATTAATACGATTTCCTAAGTAGCTATCACTCGATCACGTGACCATTGTGTTCGTCTGCCGATTAGCATTCTATTCAATGATTTTAACAATTAAAAAATTTCGTATCATCACCACATCAAAAACCACCTAAACGAGATGTTAAAATTCTATCAAAAGTTTTAGGATTTATCCTTCAAGAATAAATGGGTAGAACTACATTATTGCTGATAATATGGGCAATAATGGCACTATATTTTAACTTAACGGCATTCTAAAGTAGGAATTTAATCATAAAGCTTATCACACTGTTATAATTTCTCTCATTACGTCTCAGCTATTCCTATTGCTTAGTATTTTTTGGCACTACTTCACTCTATAACTCACCAATTCAGAACACTGTTGAACAGGAACAAAATTATATTCCATATAACAAGGGTAGATAGAAGTATGAATCAAAATAAGAAAAACGTTAGTATATTTATAGTTTTTACATGAGCTTTTAGAGTTTTCTCCAAGAATCCACTACCGCTGTTTGGTTACGAAATAGCCAATCAGCGTGTACTAACACAATTGTGCACGAAACGTGCATTGAGCCAATCTATATTCCGCTAACATACACGAATACCCTTTATTTTTAGTTAACTTCCATGTGGGATCGATAGTACAAACACACAAGCAGTTCCAAATTAAAAGGACAGAGCTTTTTGGATTTTTGCACTTCATTAACTCCAAATGATGTCGGTTTTCAAAGTAATAAACTATAAAAGACTAACAAAGTATTGTAACTGAGTTAAAAAAAATATAATTCATCTATAAATCATCACTGGAAATAAAATTTCCATCCCTTAAATATGTAAATTATGTTACAACTCCAGAGTAGTTCGTAATTTTTCTACAATGTAGTTCTCAACATATTACCTCCTCTATGGGGTTGAACTTTTGGGAATGTTATCAGGTCAACAATAATTGGTATTAAAATTTAAAATCGATAGGATAGTTTTTAACAAGTGACCTATAGTTTATAAGTTTAGTACATGAGACAGTAACTAATTCACAACAACATCAAGTATTCCAGGCAGCTATTTTGTAATATTTGAAGTTTTTAAAAGTCATATAAGTTCTGTCAAACAGTAAACATATTTCAGTGCATAGTTTTTGTTCACTTTTACACTGTTGTTTTTTATTCATTTCACTTTTTAACAGGTTATTTGGTTTTAAAATACATCCTTTGGCTTATCAACTACAATATCAAGCTGCGGCTAATTATGTTATGCCTGTACGCCCTGGTTTTTCAAAACGTGCATAAAATTAGAAACGACTTTACTGTTGATTGTTGTAAATCACGTCTGATTTAAGCGTGGTGGAAACTAATACTTATTTGTACTGTTGTTATTGTTTTTTCTTCACATCTTTTGTGAATTCATCAGTTAAAAAGAGAAATATAATTTTAATAGAACCAGATAATTGATGTTCTCTTTCCATGTTAGTGCCCTATGTGTTTATATTCATTTCATTGGAAATCTGTTAAAAGAGTGCAGATGAATTATACTCTGTGTTCATTGTGGAAAACTAATCCCCAATATGTTCCTACTTTGAACCGTTAATAAGGTGTACATAAAGCGTGGAATATTAGGAGTAAAATTTTCTGCTTTAGATAACCTTTTGCGATGAAAGATCAAATGAGGATATTAGTTATGACGATTTCCTAATTTTCATTCTGTTAGCCAACATGCTTCTTATCAATAGATTTTAACTTCATGGATTGTAGCCATCGTGGCATTATTATATCATCTATTGTGTACATTACTAGTGTTAGCGGGACATAGATTGGTTTAAATCATGCTCATTGCACGCTCGCGTTGGCGCACGCTGATTGGCTAATTCTTGTCCAATCAGCGCTAATCGATACTTGAAAAATACTCTAGAATCTCCTCATGTAAAAACTATAAATATACTAACGTTTTCCTATTGTGCTTCTTTCTTCCATCTAACCTTGTTATTTGGAATACAATCTCTTTCCTGTTCAACCGTGTTCTGATTTGGGGACTTGTCGAGCGAATTGGTGTCCGAGAATACTAAGCAGTAGCAATAGCTGGGTTATAACCGTAAGAGAGAATTATAACAACTAGTTTCAATATAATCTTACTTCATGGTAGACAATCACTTAGATTCTTAGATACATTTCCAAACAGTTTTATTTAGTACGAATATACAACCACAATTCGTTGTTATTGTTAACCGAAAACTAGTAAATTTATTAAGCATCACTTGTGTTCGTAGCTTATATTAGGGATCGACTAAGTTGAACAAGTCCTACGAATTATTGTGTGCCGGAGGAATACTCTTCTCAGTTTTACCAGATGCTGTTCATAGTGTCATGTATGTAAGCACCAAGAAAAATTTCAGACCATGAGCTAGTGGCATTTCAGAGCAGTGATATGCATTTATGAAGAAAAGCAACTAAAACAGGAGTGATGTAACAGGAAGGGCGTGACTAGGAAGTTCTCCAGCTGAATATCGTGGGGGTATCGCCAATAATTTAAGATGCCTGGTTCGGTGTGGGTGGTGGGTATCTGGTCAGTCACTGAATTAGTCAATGTTTTTGACTGTTAAATGACCTACTGATTAGAAAACAATGTAATTCAAAACCCAATAACCTAATCATAATGTTGTTTGCGGTGGGCGAAAATTGTAATTTTTTAGTATTATGAATAAGTGAAATTAAATTTTGCAGCCGAGGATCCTCTCTAACCAGTAAGACAGTTATTGTTTCCTGATTGTAATCCATATGACCAATTGTTTCCATTTACGTTTCATTGCTTTAATAACTTACATTGTGATGGCTCAGCGATCAAAGCTCTGGACTCACTAAGTATCAGATCTGAAATGTCCCACCTAATTTGATTTGGTCAGATGCCTATTATCATTAGCCTTCACACTTAGAGTGTAACTCAAAGCCGAATGCACGCATCTGTACCTGATAAATGAGTTAATGATTTGATAGATAAATCTTAGAGTATAGAAAGACTTAATCATTAGGTCGGATTCAGTAGACAGGGTTCAGTCCTTATTATTCATGTTTGACTGTCATTTTATGTTTCACTCAATTCTTTGTGGATACCTATTGTTGATTATCCACAGGGCTTTCATCGGGAGCCCTCTTCTAGCTTAGTTTTTCATTTGAATGCCCTTTGCACATCTAGTGATTTGGAAACATTGGCACATAAACTACTGTTGTATGTTTTACCTTTCTTGAGTTATCGTTAATTAATTACATACCCGTTACTTAGTTCTCTTTCAGCTATGGTTTGTCCAAAATACACTGTAATTCTCTAATCATGTTAGCATGTAACCGGGAAATTACCCTATATTATTTTACGAGTTGAGTTATGAAACTGAACTGTTGCACAGGAGTAAATATATCTACTTGCTAACTTCGCCTTGTGACTAAACACTGGGCTAGAAAGAACTCGATGACGAACTGATACTAAGGTCTCATTCGTTGTTCACTGGGTCATTGATAAGTTAAAAAGTCAAAGATTCTATAGGCGATGGAGATAAAATAGTTGGTAAGTGGACACTAATTATCTGCTCCCATGATAAGTTATCGGATCAGTCACACAGGGAAAAAATTAAGGATATCTTTTTATCTTAGTAATATTTGTTTGGTGTATTGTATTACTGCCGATCAATAAATCCAAGTGAGATATTAAAAATTAATCAGTAAAACACTTCGAATAGTTCATCTAGATTGCTAAGTAAATGTTAAATTCAGTACACTGTAAAGATATGAAATATTATATTTATCAAATATATGACTGATTTTCTAAAAATATCAGGTTGAATGTAGTTTGAAATACCAGATGAATAACAAACTTTCAGGTTTTAATAGACTGGATAAAAAGGTTAATTGGATCTGAGTTACTTTTCCTTTGTAGTTATTTTTTGAAATTATTAGTATGTAGTCCTGAGTGTTTAACTTTGAAGCTATTAGTGAGGTTATATTTCAATGCTTTTATTGTGAAAGCAAAAATTTTCACAAATACTTAAGCATTACATATAGCGATGTGCACTTTTATACAAGAGTTGCCTTTATCATGTCAGTAACTATTTTTCTAAGCTGATATGTATGATTAATACTAACAACCAGGCGATAATTAAGACTCATAGTTAGACATTAATTATATCGGAGAGTGAATTGCCTATCGTGAGCATACCCTCCAATCATGTCCATGTTTTCTTCGATATTTAATAAAAGAGTGTAATTCTTCAGAGGTTACAACTGCGTTATTGGGCAGTTGTCTTCTGACATCGATTCAACTATAAGCATATGTCGATAATTCGGTCTCGTGACCAATTATCACTTGATCACATTGTATCATTGCATATTATTGATCGGTCGGTGTATTCCATTCATTCAATAACCCTCAAACAACTTTTTATAACAAATCATAAAAGCTTAATTTTAAAATAAACACTCAATTAATTTCTTTTTAAATTGTCATTCATTTTCGTCGTTCAGGTGTAAACCATTAAACACTATATTTCTAGTCTTTTTTGAATATTGAATTTTACTGTTTGTAACATTTCATGATCTCCATTGACTGCTTGTTAAATTATTTGAACTAACGATATGTTTCATCATGCTCTTTACCATTCCATTTAACTTTCCCGAAACATTAATAATTAAAAAACAATGAATCAAAGAATTTATAAATATAATATACTGACTACCTAAAAATACCTGTTTAGATTATGCTGGTTAATTTCATGCCGGTCTTTGGTCAATTTTAGTTGGAGGTATTTGCTAGGACCGCCTGTTTGATCTAGGTTTCATGCTAGTTGGCATTCATTATGAAGGCGTGCTTGTAATCTTATGAGTAATATATGATTCCTATAGGATACTAACCTGCATCACCTTGTTTCACTACCGAATATATTGCTACTAAGCCTTTTGTGCTGTCAATAACCTGTAGGGCTGATATAATTGCATTGAGTAATCAATAACTCGTGGTCAATGCAACATTTATCTAGTCCACGGTACTTATTGAACTCCGTTGACTGCCTCCAATCACCACCTGACTTCAAAACATAGTAAACTCGTCAAGTTATTTAGAATAATAGCCTCATAATTTATTTTCAAGTTTTCACTCTTTATCATGTTAATTTCCTTTCAGTATGATGGTAACTTAGATGAATTGAAGATGATTGTTATATGTCATCAGAACTTTGAATATAAAAGTTAGAAAAGCATTTTAATGTTTTATATCCAGAACACTTTACCAATCTCATTTGTAAAACTCACTGAAATTCTGCTTTTAATTAATTGACCCTTATCAGGTTTCACAGAGAAATACCTTGATAATTATATATGTTAAGTCAGATTGTTCCAAATGTATGGCGCAAATACACCATATTTTTTTCAGATCAACTTAGTCTCATTACATTATAGAAATAACCTAATTGACTCGGAAAAATTTGTATATTTTTCCGAAAATATCAATATAATAGGTTGTAATGGAAAAAATTGATTGCACAATATCTAGCAAACAATTACAAAATATAAGAAATATTCGATCATTAGGTTGAACATAATCAATTTTAGGTATGTAATTAACCTGTAAATGCATCTATGAAAGAAATGAGAACCAAGAAAATACGAATCAAAAAGTCTTTCATAATAATAATGATCATTAAAAATAATATTAAGTAGAAGTGAAAAAAGAAGCAAGTAGGGTTTACTGTAAAGAGAGGTGGTCTAATGAAAAATATTACTTACAGGTAATCCTTACGTTAAAATTTCTACAATATGAAGAATAATCTTGTGTAGACTTCTTTGTATTGATTGTCTGGCTCTTATAAGTAACATCGAGTAAAGAATCTAAGGTCGAATTAATGTAAACTTTGTTAAGCTACGATGAGAATGCTTATTAGTGGGACAGAATTCATACCCATTTGATTGCTACTTGTAATGGCTTTATATGTTTTTGTACAAGTATTTTTACTATAAGGAAAAACTGAAACCTCAATTTGGTATCTATTACTACATGCACCAATACATTATCCCTTAAACTACTGAATCCGTTTGATCACCAACTTGTTCAATATGTATGAATTTATTTATAAGACTATATTTCTGATGTTATGGTGTCGACTGATTTCAATTTGGATGAACCTATGAATATACTATAAATATAAATCTTCGATTTAACTTGGTATATTGCCTATACTAACCCTGTTTGTATGATGGCAGTAATAAGAAGCCAAATACAGGTGGTGTTGTGGGAATTTACTTCAGGCATTCGTTTATCCCGACAGACGATCAGATAAACGAAGCGAAACGAACAAATAATCGATGGTTGAGGAATCGTTCAACATTTAGCAACTGTAATGACTTGACAGAACACTGGTTTTGCTACGTGCTCCGAACTGTGTATATGATTGTTTACTTGCTACTGTAT